TATCTTTGATACTTAGATCTAGGCAACTGACTTCAAAGTCCTGTGAAAGCAAAGCTTATATGAAAGGCAAAGGGAATCAGGGATTTCACCTCATGTTTCATGTAGGCACACAGGTTCAGTCTTAGGAACTGTGTGTCAGAGTAACCTCCATCTAAAAGCTTCTGTTTTGTGTCATGGAAGATACAGTGAAGCACGTATGTTGCAGTTTGGTACAGTAAATTCATTGTTCAAAGTCAAGTGGCATGTTTAATATTAAACCAAAAACTGTTTTTTTATATGTAGCTCTTTATGGAAATCAATACAAAGAAAAGCAGATACAATTCTGTTACAGTTTGAGATTTCTAAAAGAAGTATCAATAAAGGCGTTCCACTAAAGTTAAATTGTTCTTAAATTTCTCTTAGGCTTTCTGTGAAACTTTGGAGGAAACAAATTACCGTCTCCAAAAAGAACTGCTTGAAAAACAAAGGGAGGTGGAATCACTGAAGAAATTACTAAGTGAAAAACAACTTCATATAGATGCTATTGAAAGAAGAATTAGGTACGTAGACATCATAGGATTGTTAGGTGTTTCTTCACATGAAGGCATTCTTGCTAGATAGTTTAGAAGAACTGGCTTTAAATGTCGTCTTGAAAACAATTTTCCCACAATTGCACACAAGGCAGTATTTTCAGTAATCTTTCTCTGGCTAAAAGCTGTTATTTCATACAAATAACTGAGAAAGCATTGATCCATATTGTCCTTTTGAAGTCACTGGGTTTATGGTTCTTAATCCTTGAAATCTTGTAAAGATAAGGTAAAGGTTCTCTTCTGCCTTTGAAATGCTGGATACGTGAAATGCTGTAGCGGAGATGAGAGCAGTGGAAGAATTGCTTTGAGTTATAAAATTCCTCCTGTACTCAAAGCTTTAACAGAGCATCACAGTGAAGCGATCTTGTCTATATTAATTTCTGACTTTGTTCTGAGCTGCCTGGAATGTTGCTGTAGGTAGCTTTTAAATGCCACTGAAGATTGTCCCTTTAAATCTAAAGAAAAAAGTATGGTTGAGTTTCACAGTAAGCCTTTATGGTGCTCATCTGCTAAATTTTGCAATAGGAGAGGAGTTTAATATTCACCATTCTGCTAGGCTTACTGACTCTGTCTTTGTGGAGCTTTCTTAGGAAATGAATATACCCCCTCAAACCCGGAAGAAGTTACTTTAATACTGCTTGGTTTGTTGATTCTAGCTGACTAACAAACTACATTTTTTAATACGTATTTTGTGGACTAGATTTGGAAAACTATTTAAGTGGAATTGCTGTGGTTTGTTGAGAATTCTGACCCAAATACTATATTCAGTTTGTAAGACTACTCCTGGAGGCAGTGAACTATGTTTGAAAGATGTCTTTCCTGTTTTTCAAGAAAATTATGACTTACTACTGCTGTAAGCACTGAAGTAACTAATGAAAATTAAATAGCTTGTATTTGGCTGAAACAGCATGGGAAGAAATTCTGTATGACTAAAGATAAAAGCGGAAGGCATGAATAACAATTCTTCAGTGCTTTCCCTAAATATAGATTATTTTTTTATTTCATTTCTAACACGGACATACCCTGTTTGTTTTCAAGACCCTGTAAGGCTTTTGAAAGTTAGCCAAATAGTAGTTGAAATCTTAATTGAAAGTAAATCCTGTGATTTTTGGTTGTGGAGTTACCAAGTAGTGTGGTAACTTTAAGAAATACTGTTTGCCTGATGGGAATGATGCATGATATTACTTATGTCTTGTTGAAATGGAATTTTGATCTGATAGACCAACAACACTTAGGCATTTTCTATCCTTACACTCTCAAAGCCAGGTACCTAGAATGTTTGTGAGGTGAACAATTGAATAAAGTATTAGATGTAGACTTGTAGACCTTTACTTACCATCCTGGATTTGGCTGAAGGTAGGCCAATAATTCATTAAATTCGATGAGTAATACTGAAGTGCTACTTAAAATTAATGTTAAAACTATAGAAATAATAGTAATTAAAGGAACTTTAAAATGAGATGAATGTAGTAGAATTCTCTCCAGCCCAAAATCATTCACAAGCCTTTCTGATTCAAGTGACAGATTTCAACCCTAAATTTATGTATGTTTTCTGCATACAGAAATACTTTGGAAACAAATGTAGTTTCTCTACGCAATTTCATACGACCACAGTTTGATTTTTAACCAGGATTATTGGACCACCATCTTGCCTTGCTGTAAGGGAAAAATTATTACCTGTCTCTTTAATGGAGAATGTATTGCTCTGATTAACTTGCATCTAGCAATTTACAGTGATCCTTCTTCCATTGAAACAAGATGCATGTGGCCTAGATCATCTCCTTCTAATTTCATATCTAAAGTCACAAATCGTTTCTCCAGGACTTGGATTATTTTATTCAACTACAAAATTATGATACAACAAGAGGATTGAAATTAGTTTAACCTGTTTGAATAGCTATCCAGTGCCAAGCCCTGTGTCTTTATGATATGAAAGAATATGGAGCATGTTATGAGTCAGATTGATATGTTCCCAGAAACCAGTAAGTTTAAAATGAAACAAACTGCTTTTCCCTGATTAATATTTATTATAAACAGGTTGATGATACTTCATTCTTACTTGTAGGGATTTATCTTCAGGAAAAATGATTCGTCAGATGTCAGGAGAAGGAAGTGAGTGCAGTGGTGAGGTGGAGTCTTCTGCAGTAGAAGCAGACCAGGGTACCCTGGGTGAGGACAGCTGGTAAATACTATTATTTTACTTTAGAATATATTTTAAAATATATTTTAAGTATATTTTTAATTTTCTTGAAGTATGTTTTCAGATGTGTGGTCTCACATAAGTTCTGCACAGCTGAGAAATTCAGTGCTTTATTGCACCTCTCTGTAGCTCTCCCACGTTTCATAAAGGCCCTCAGGATAGCTCATTTTAGATGTCTAACTTATCACTTACTCAACAAGCTTTGTAAATGTTTGGTGGTTTGTGGGCATAACGTGACTACAGAGAATCATATTAGTTTCCATTTGACAAAGCTTATTGATCTGTTGTTGCAGCTCAGATAAAGAGAACCATCACGCGGCGTGCTGGAGTGGCTCTTTGCCTGAAAATTCTATACCAGAAATTGAAGTTGCTGAAGTAGCATATACTGCTGATGAAGAAGAATAGATCAGTAGCAGCTGCTGTTATGTAGGAAAACTTCCTGTTTGGGACATGTTTTGTGGGTAGGGGCATACAGAAGCTGTAAGGAATTTACAGCCAAGAGCAAGAATGCACGTATCGAATGTTTACATAAATCCTTACAAATTGTTAACATAAGAAATATACCCAGTGCTGCTTTCATTTCAGTTTTTATTTAGCCTTTATATATTTAATATATTTAAAGTCTAATAAGGGCTAAGATCAGCTAAAATTTAGATAGTACACATCCACAGTTTGGCTGACTTTCCTAGCAGAGTGACAAAAACTTTAAATCACAAAACACATTTAACTTCTTAAATGTGACACGGTGTACTGTGTCACATCGGAATGGTGCCACTGATGTGACACATTTGATGTGTTCTTCAGTTTGGTATTTGTGTTTTCATATTCTTAGAGCCATAAATTGACGAACGATGGAATAAAAATGGACTCATCTTACGTTTAATAAGAGTGTAGCATATGTTGTTTTTAAATTCTGAAGTTGGAGAATATTTGTCTGGAAATTTTAATGCAATGCAATAGGAAAATGTACAGTACCAGGAGAAAAATACTTATGAAACAACGTTATAATGCAACAATTTTTTAGGTATGTTAAAGAAATGGTCATTTTTGCTGAAGGAACTAAGATGAGACCCCCAAAACACTGTGTATTTTCATCCCAAGATGGCATACTATAATACTTTTAGCTGGATAATGCTGCTTTTAAAACCTGGGATACCTTTGCTACGTTACCCATGTAACAATAAAATCAGCAAGTTTGCCTTTTACTTGGAACACTACCTCTTATCATCTTGCTAATGCATTCATGTTTGCTTAAAAATATTTCAGATTATATGGAGATAACTGAAAGACTGTAAAGAAGCCATATTTTTTTCTGCACAATTCATAACTAGATTGAATCTAGTTGCAATGTATTTTTGTTTCAATGTATTGTACGTGTGGGAATATTGCTACATATGTTCTATAGCCTATTTTTCAAAACATATTGAGACAGGAGATGCACTTTATAACTAAGACTCCATTGTGCCAAGTTCAGTTGGCTAATTGGTTGAGAAAGGAGTCACAGGGAGAGGATTATGTAGTGCCTTTTTGTATTTTACTTGTTCATTACTGCAGAATTTTGTTACAGTGCTCTGGGTCAGCTTTGTGGAATATTTGATACAGCTTGTTTCTTTTCTTCACTTATTTACTGAAAGTGCCTTGTTTTATTCTGCTTTTCCAATAGAAAGAATGCTGTTTTGTTTTAATTTCTTTTTTTCCCCTATACCACCCACATCGTTGTTTAATGTCGTTAACATGCAGTGTCTTTGTGCTGGAGTTTTCAAAGGGAGCTTTGTACTTCAGGCTGTGCATACAATGACCTTTATGCAGAACTGTATAAACCTTCCTGGTGGAATAAAACTATGGTGAAAACACCTGTCTTCTCTTTTCTATTGTAGAAAAAGTTCAGTATCTTGTCTAGCAAAAGGATAAAAATGCTTCTAGAAAGAGACAAAAGACTTAATACAGGTTTTCAGCTATTGGTCTGACCTCTGCATAAAAACAAATGAGAATGTTGTAACAGCACACCAGAAGACTTACAGAATCATAGAATCTTAGAATCTGTACAGTTGGAAGGGATCTTTAAAGGTCATGTAGTCCAACTCCCCTGCAATGAACAGGGACACCGCAGCTAGATCAGGTTGCCCAGGGCCTTATCCAGCCTCACTTGAAAGTCTCCAGGGACAGGACATCAACCACACCTCTGGGCAACCCGTTCCAGTGCCTCAGCACCCTCTCTGTAAAAGATTTTTTCCTTATATCTAGCTGAAATCTACCCTCTTTGAGAGTCTGTCCCCTTCTTTCCTATAGCTCCCCTGTAGATACTGAAGGGCTGCTACCAGGTCACCTCACAGCCTTCTCTTCTCCAGGCTGAACAGCTCCAGCTCTCAGCCTGCCCTCATAGTAGAGGTGTTCAATTCTGTAGATCATTTCTGTGGCCCTTCTCTGGATGCTCCCCAACAGGTCTCTGTCTCTCCTGTACTGAGGACTCCACATCTGGATGCAGTACTCCAGGTGAGGCCTCAGCAGTGCAATTTAGGGCACTCCTTTTGAAGATTAAAATACAAAAGGAGCTGATCTTTTCAACAGTCTGCCTGAATCCTGGGAGACGCTCAGTGAACAATGAAGTTATGTCACCTTATTGAAAGTACACAGTATCGTTTGTCAGATGTCACTTGTGTGTTTGAGAAGTTGATTGAACTGTGTATATTCAGTGCTAGCTTCTAACTATAAATATTTCAAAAGTCCTGAAAAAACTCTTGACTCATGTGCACTAGGAAGTTCTGAAGTACTGCAAGTAGATCTCTACAGCTTGTCACTCTGAATAAAACAGTATAAGCATCTTAGAGTTTAGTCATGAGAGGGCAAAGCACTGTGAATTTTGTTGCTTTCTCCTTGAAGCTTACAAGCTATTTTGCTGCCCCAAAACTTTTACTGTCACATGAGCAGATGTTTTTGTCTAATTTAAAAATCAAGCTGCTTCTAATCTCAGGTGAAGAATGAGATTTTGTTAAGCTTTATTTTTATCTGCCACAGTTAAATTCTTCTGAAAGTAATTGTCTTGAAGGTTCAGCCAGTAATGTACGGTTTGTCTTTTTAGTTTGTTTGTTGTAGATTTACTATATTGTACCCAGCTGAATCTTACTGGGCTTTTATTTTCTTATACTGCTACCTAAATGTAATAATCCTATGCGCTTCTCACGCTACTTCTGCTTTTGATTTCTGTGTTATTAAATTAGTTCACATGCTGACTGTTGAATCAAGAATGAGTCCCTGTAAAACTCCCACTGCATACCTTTCCCACTGTTCCTATCAGCTACTGGTAATAATAGTCCCATTGAACCAGCTTAAAGAAGGAAGCACATCACAAACTCAAAAAGCTGCACCGGACGGTTGTGGGAGGGAGCAGCCTACACAGCCTGTCGTCTTCCTGTGTTAAGCATCTCTTTGTTGCTTTGGGGTTTCATAGTTGCAGAGGAAGGGATGTGGACAGCTACTGTTTGGTGGATACTCCTGTTCCAAAAGCACGTATTCGTTAAACCACAGTTTGATTTTTCTATCCATATCTCCAATTCCTTTGCTGAAAGGAACACAGCTATGAAGCAATAGCGGTTACTTTGCCAGATACCCACATTTCTAGTAGCAGAACTGATAACAAAGGGGATTTCTGTAGAAGTTTTACAGGTTTTTATTTTCCCGTGTTCAGCAAAGTAATCAATGGGGAAACATTCTGAAGACTTCAGCTCTGAAGTTGCTGCCATTTTAGCTGTGGGTTTTGTGGTGTGTAATTTTTGATTTTTGTGGTTTGGTGGTGGCTTTTGTTGTTGTTTTATGAATGTCACAATAGAAATAAATAGTCCACAGCCATGAGCCACCAAGGAAAGGAAGAATGCTGTAAGAGACACTCTTCATAGAAAAGCAGCTGGCAGGGTATCTTTCCTGCTAGCGTTCTTTTCTGTATTTCAGCTGAATTTTTGCCACGTTCAGAGTGCATTCAGATTTCTAGGCAGACCCAGCATTCACATCTAGATATGTATTCTTCCTGTAAAACAAAGAATGTGCCTTAAGGTGTGCCAGGCTAGCTGACCTGTGCCATCACAGCCTTTTTCCTCAGTTTGAACTTTGAAAGCAGGTGACTCAATGATCCCCGTGGTTCCCTTCCAATGTCAGAGAAGAGCTTCACCCCTGCAGTGCAGAGGCAATCAGCATGGGTTTCACCTGTCTGTGGGTGCTGTGCCTCATCTGAGCACTGACCTAACAAATGGGATTCTGGGGTCACAGAATCACAGAATTGTAGGGGCTGGAAGGGACCTCTAGAGATCATTGAGTCCAACCCTCCTATTAAAGGAGGTTCCCTAGAGTAAGTTGCAGAGGTCAGCTCCCAATGCTCATCTAAGGAAAGTTGGTAGGTTCTGGACAACACTTTGTTAAGCCTTTGGCAGCAGTATTTTCATCTGTTTTGTGGTGTTCAGCACAGTCCTCATGGAAACCTTTACCTCTTTTATCCTTTTTAAGAGCTCCGTGGAGATCTTAAGTGCTTGCTGTGTTGTGCTGAGCTCTCCTGTGACTCAAGAGTCATCAAAGTACTCTCCAAAAAAGGAATTTGTCCTCACTTTGTATCTGAGAGAGAGGTATTGCATTACCTCTGCTTCAAAAATGAGGAAGAAAGCGATTATGTGATTCACCTTAATTGCACAGGAAGCCACTTGGACTTGTCTTAATGTTACTGCTGATCCCACAGACTTGTCAGCAGGTTAAAATTGGATGCTTCTCTAATCCGGTGTCTCCTGTGTGTGTACAGGAACTGTGTCCTGGGCTATCCTCACTGGGTTTCAAATGGATCTAAATATCCCCACTGATAAGTTAGCTTGTTCTAGATTTTATGATGTTATTTTCTACTAGCTTCATCTGAAACTGAAAAGACATTTCCATTAATGCAGTGGAGACAAAAAGCCTCCGCTCTCTGACCCCCGCGGATTAGTGCTATTCATCTAGAAGAAATCACAGCTGCTGCAGCTGTTCAGTGGGAGAGCTGAGGATGGCCATGACATGCTGCAAGTTGTTCGATAGCAATTAAAGCGGGTTCATCAAGTATTGCTCATCCTGCAAATGCCTAATGGGAGATGGTTGTGCACTGACCTTTCAAGATTGCATCACTGCTCTGCGTGCTTGAAAATAAGTAAAAAAAAACAAAATGCAGTTTAGGAAGAAGTTGTGATATGTGGTAAACCTCCCACTGGGTCTCACCTCAGATTTCCTGTGATTTTCCTAGTTCTTAGTAACCAGCAAATAGGGGGCATAGCTCACAGTGCAAAGGGTTTCCTCTTTCCTTCTCATTCTGTAGTATGTACAGTTCTGAATCATAGAACAGCCTGGGTTGAAAATGACCACAGTGATCATCTAGTTTCAACCCCCCTGCCATGGGCAGAGTAACCAACAACTAGACCAGCCTGGCCTTGAATGCCTCCAGGGATGAGGCATCCATTGTGTTGTAGGGATAAGTAGAGGCACTGGGTAATAAATCTGTCCCATTATGGCAGTTACTATGTATGGTCAGGTAAAGTCTTGTGTTGAGTTTGTGTGTTAATTTAAAGTATTAAGGTAGAAAATTTACAGTATAGCTTAGAGGATAATGTAAGTGTAGTTACATCAACATGCAATTCTTTGAGTTGAGCACGGGAACAACAACTTCTGTAGAAATAAGCAGATGAGAAAACTCTTACTGTGTGGAATCTTTAAAAATAAAATTCAACCCATCCAGTGAGTGAGATGTGGGTTCTGCTGCTGCTTATGTGTGCAAGTGGGGCCCAGGCGGGGCAGCTTCTTCTGCAGACCATAATGCTGATGTGTATACTCCTTATGTATGTAATACTCCTTATGAAGGAGTATTAATCAATGAAAAACTAAAGCTCAACCATGCTGTTTGTTAGTTAACTAAAGAAAGATGACGTGTGCAAATGACTTCTTGTGCTCTTAGCATGCTGCAGACCCCTACTGGCATCCCCTGTGTGATACAGGGATGTTGCAGTTGTGCATCTCTCATTCCATGAGCAGTCCACAGCACTCACTGCCCAGATGACAAGAGATAGAGGCATCTTGTGACATCCCAAAAGTCAGAGTGCGAGATCTCTCAACAAAAGGACTCTGTTCTGTGCTGGTGAAGCAGATGTTGGCTCAGATTTCAGTTTACTCAGACAAATATGTGCCCCAGACAGCAGACAGCTTATCCGTCTACATAAATACATGTCTTCACTAGTTATCATTTTCTCCCACCGTTTTTTTCTTCTCTTCTCTCTGTGATAGAAAGCCCTTTGTGTATCTGGTGCAGCATAAGATCCGCAGTCAGGTTAATGCTATTAGAAACCTTTTCTACAGTGCCTTACTTAGCCTGCAGTGGGGGATACTCTTCCCCAGGAAACTCATTCAGTTAAACACATTTTTTCTGGCAGAGCTTCCGAGGCACTGAGAGCTGAAGTTTTAACCCTTAACACATGAGGTAATCTCTGCCCTGCACATTCAGCTGTTCCTTTAGGAAGTTTCTATCCCAGCCATAGGAAGGCCACTAATAACAATCCACTTAACCAGTGCACCTGTAGATGGCCTTCGTTGTGTTTGGTTTGTTTGGGTTTTTTTTTGTTTTGTTTTGTTTTTCCCTGTGTATTTGTTATAGGGGAAATGGCTGAGCAAAAGGCAGCATTTCTTGCAGCACTGTTACTCATTGTAGCTGTTGTAGCAATGCCAGTGAGGAAGAGCAGCTGGTGAACTCTGAGCTACATCAGGTACTCCCGCACACCTGTGTTAGGGTACCCGAGCTGCTCCGGAGCACAGCGCGGCAGAGAGCCCCGCTTTCTGAGCAGGGCTTCCCGGCTGCCTCCCGCTACGAGCGGAAGGAATGACGGCACTGAGCCCGGCCTGCAGCCCGCCGCCTCCGGGCGCTGTGCGCAGAGCTCCGCCTGCAGGCCCTAACGCTTACTGCAGGCGACGTTCTCAGGTTCTCCACAAAACACCGCCGCGTTGCTTTATTTGTCTTCACCGCTCTTTCTCCCAATTTTCTTTTTATACCTTTGAGGATTTATTGAATTCTAACCTGGACCTGAAAGACCAATACATCAAAAAATGTTCTCAGAAATCCTCACAGTCGCTAAATAGAGTACTGTGTCCTGATGGGAGCGTAAGAAGCACAGGTAAGCTTTCCCCACCAGGAAAACAACACAATCATGGCACCAAAATATTTATTTACAAGACATGTATATATTAACTCTTCTTTTTCTTAATCAATATTTTTGTCAAGCTATCCGGGTTCAAAATGTCCACGCCTGTTAAGAAAACAACCTTAAAATAATTAACCAGAGTCAGCTATGGTACACCATCTGCTTCCACAGTCCTCTGGTAAAATATGTTCAAGGTAATAGAGAGCATATTTACAGTAACACGGTGACCCTATTCACTCTTGCCTGCTTATGTGCTAAACAGCAACTCACAGACCAGCTGTCCCAAGTGAAGCACAGGGCTGTGCTGGCATGGCCTGCATTCAGACATTCCAGATGTGTCCACAAGCCTTGCAGGGTTATGCAATCAGCATCCACCAGCACTTCCTGTACCTAAGGCAGAGACTTGCTGCTCTAGTGGTTGGTGATCCTGCACATAGCAGGGGGTTGAAACTAGATGATCATTGTGGCCCTTTTCAACCCAGGCCATCCTGTGATTCTATGAGCTCTGCTTTCAGATGAATGCAAACCAAAAGGAATTCCACTACAGATAAACGAAATGAATGAAAAACTGAAATTTTAAAAATGTTAGTTAATCTTGGGTCTCATTTGAAGAACACAATTTGAAAGATTCTGAGCACACCAGAATGCCACGTCCATTAGCTTGCGCCTAACCAAACATTTCATAGTGTGGAGCCTACTGTAGGCTATTAAAGCAAATCACAGGCAAAAGCCCACAGGGTAACTGGTCAGTCTCCTGTTGCTATGGATTTACAGAAAGCAAGCCTCCCACTATTCTCCAAGTGGTTCAGTCATCACAAAATTACATCAATTTGAAAAGAAGAAACAAACATCAATGTGACTCTGCTTCCACTTCCCTAGGATCTCCCCAGTGTTTTACTATTTCCTTGTGAATTTTAGCAAGCTCGTACCATGGAGCTTCAGTCGGATTAAATACTGTTTCTTTGTACAAGCCAGCATATTTAATTTTATTGTATTTTAACAGTGATGTCTCTATATATGTAGTGGGTTAGCACTCAGTGGCATCTGTTCCTTACACTAAAAATAACATGTCAACTTTACAAGTAGGTTAGATCAGCAGAAAGGGTTAAAAAGGCATTTTGAATATCACACACTGATACTGCTGCCATTCAGGAAATGAATAAAAATTATCCTGAAATTGTAGAATTTCAAATTGTGAGGATGCGTATTTTCAACCAAAGTAAAGACTCATCCCAGAAAGTAACGGTGGAAGGAAGGATGTCAGGAAGGCTAAGTCTCTTCTGGCTTTTTTAAAGGATCAGTGTTTAGCAGGGAGCTACACAATCTTGGACACTGTTATTTTCCCCAGTCATAGGGGAGCTGCCATTTAGCTGAGTTGGAAATAGTTTAAAACATGATTCAAGTTGACCATACAGCTGTGCACAGAATAGTCTTGCTGTCACTTGCCACAGTTAAAACAAACAAACAAAATAAAACAAACAAACAAATAGTGAATAGACTATTAAAAGTTCTACAGAAGAGTCTTCTCTTAATATCTAGGACACCACAAGGTGCTCCGGGTAGTGTGGGAAGTCTCCATGCCCACACGAATAGCTACTAGCTCTCGGGCTCAAAGGAACTCACTGGTCCTGTGTATAAAGCTGTTTGGCTAACAGCCTGAACCACACGACTCCCTAGGATGGGGCTTCCATTATTTATCTTTTTCATCGCAGTAATGCATCCAGCTGTGTGTGTGCACAGGTGAGGCATTGAGGTCTCGCAGAACAGCAGGATATAACCTAATAAAAACTGATACTAAAAACAAAACATCTCTGATCCAGGCTGGAATAAATGTTAAGTTTGGAGGCTTTGGCAATTATTGTTTTCTGCTTGGTTGGTTTAAAACCCATTTTGTAATATGGAAATCATACTATTCTTAGCAAGATTCACCCATTTTAAAAGTGTATGAAATACAACCATACTAAATTGGTAAGTTTATAACAGTATTATAGCTCTTTACATCTGTACTCTACCACTCCATGTTAGGAAAAGACCATGCCCTTAGGAAGCCCAGGCTGCTAGCTGCTTCATGTCATCTTCATCCTCCACTCTCTTCCTGGTTGAAACTGCACAGAGAGAGAGGTTAACAATAATCATTAACTAATAATAACAATCAGAAACAAATTAATTTGTGAACATCAGGCCTTGCATAGTGCTTTTTAGTTTTAAGATCTTGCTTTACTGAGAAGCAAGATAAACATAGGTAACATTTATCTTGCTTCTCAGTAAATGTAGGTGATGAAGCTGATAGCCTTGGCACTGTACAACACTGCTTAGCAGCAGCTACAGACATCAGTGTGTTATCAACACTGTTTTTCTCCAAACCAAAGCGTTGCATCATTCCAGACACTGAAGAAAACAATTCCACCCCCACTGAAACTAAGACACAGATACGACTGATGTGTCACACCATTAGCTCACATATAACCCCACTGTTAACAATACAGGTCTCATTAACCTCCTAATGAAAGATTCCTACAGAAAATGTATTTAACCCCAAAAAGCTCTTACAGTGAGTGAGCAAGCACTGCAACACTACCTGTTTTCTCCCCTCCACTTGAGCAGGAACAAATGACCTGTCCCTGGCTGGCTGTGCTACCTTTCCAAATACTGCTGAAGGGTTCTGCATGCACATGTCATGCATGTGTCCCTGATAGTGTTAAAGAGGTGTCTGGATGAGGTGCTACATAATATGGTTTGGTAGCTTGTGGTAAAAATGGTGATGGGAGGATGGCTGGACTAGACAATCTTGTAGGTCCTTTCTAACCTTGTGATTCTATGATTCTATGTCCAGTTTCCAAATGGTATCACTAGGTTTTAATGGGAGTTATCATCTATTGAAAGGGAAAAAAAAATTCCTAAATATGCTTTGCTCGAGTAACATCTGTGGCTACTTGGTTAACTGCTCTGCTCACAGCAGTAGTAATACTCAGCTAGGTCCTACACTCACTTTCTCACTGTTGTTTTAAAGCCCAAACCTCCTATCCTGTCCTCACACTGCCTGAATTATAACCTCATACAAATAGCCTTCATTCAGTGACCTGCAAACTGCATGCTCTACTGCCCAGGTTCGGCCTAGGCTCTCCCCAGCTCCATGCTGTGTGTGCGTCAGGATTTGCATTACTGGGTGTGCACCAGCCCTGTGTGTTTGTTTTAGTGCAGCCAATCAGCTCCTGCCGTACTGCTGGAAATTACCATCACAGAAGAGATCCTGAGTACCGCTTCTAAAGGCTCAGGCTGGGAGAAGGACACAGAGGACCAACAAGTCAAGTTCCTATGCTGCAGGTGCCACTGGCTTACTATTCAGCAGGGGAAGGTCATAGTGCCTTGTTTCACCCCACTGCCCCGACCTCTAACATCATGCATGTCCAACTAGAAGCAGTATAGAACCATTAATTGCTTTGTTCTTACTTCTTTGTAAAAGTAAGCATACAGTTACAAAATAGATTAGCCAGTTTTGCAAAAGCGACTAATTTTTCCCAAAGCAGTCATTTAGAAAGATAAAGTAGCAAATCTGGGATAATGAGAATCACATGGAGATGGTGTGGGTTCAAATAAAACTGTCAGCTGGCACAGCTGGATCTGGAAAAGGATATACGAACAAGCCATAAATGCCAAGACTGCAATCTGCACTGAGTTTGCCTAAATCCATTTTTTTTTTCTAGCTATTCCTCCATTTACATAAGGAGATGAGACCACAGTTCCAGATGGAAAATTTTCAACTGCTTCTCAGGGATTTAAGTGTCACTTGCCAAAACACACACACGAGTCTTCAGAATAAGCTGACCTAGGTACCCCATTTTGCAGAGAATGCACCACACAGCTTGTGTCATGAGTGCTATTCTTGCCACTGAGTATCTATTCTCTTTTTATTATCACCAATACACAGCAGGTCTTACAGCTCCTACAGAACAGGGACACAGTGAAAGATACAGTTAACAGTTGTCTGCCCCTGGTTTAATTCAAAACAAACACAGCGTAACTACAGAAAAACAAGACTACTGCTTAATGTTCCAGAGAAAGAAACCAAAGGAATGACAATGTTTCTTTCAATTTGCATGCCTTGCTACCTCTTGAATTTCTAATTACAGTATCAGTGGCAAATACCAAACCACTAACCTGAAAAACTGAATTTTTGTGATGCAAACATTTTGTATCTAGGTCAGACCCTAATTAAAAAAAAAATTGATAATTTAATTGCCATAAGAAAAAATAAATCCTCCCATTCTCTGGTGATTTCACTATATTTCAGCAGGAATTGCACCAGGATATGTGAAAGGTCAAGTTCCTTGAATTTGGCTTTTCAAATCTATAGAGATTTTGGTCCTAAATGCTCTCACAAATCAAACTAGAATTCCTTTTTCTAATAAACTATGCAAAAATACGTAAGGAATTTACAATGCTTTAGAAAATAAAGCAGAGTTAAATATATATCTGTGATTTTCTCTCACTCTTTGACACACAGCATGGCTTAATCATAAGAAACTTAAAATGGCAAGCAAGCAGTTTACCGGGGCGAGAAGGTAGTGATGTGGATGGAACACTTGGCAGTCTGACATCTCGCATTCTCTTGTTCATTTCTTCTTGCTCCAGTTCTTCTAATTCTGCCATCAACTCATCCTAAATTCAAGGAAAACATTAACAAATTCATTGTCCTGACAGTGATCTCAGACAAGGGCACTTGTAACCACCATAAAGCAAAGTATTACTGAAATAACAGTTTATGCTTGATAAAGGAAGATTATCAAGTAGTGTACTGCAAGTATCATTTTCATAACTGTGATCAATAACAATAAACCTTCACTGAAAGTTGAAATAAGGACGATAGAAGTTTGAAACAGGTCAAAGTATAAAACTAGAAACAAAAATGCCAGTGTACTACTTGTGACAAAAAGGCAAACAGAAAGAAAAAAGTCCAAATGCCTTCATCAGATTTGTTCCAAATCTACAGTCTGCACAGTTTAAACTGATTCTAATTTTAATGTGCATCTTTTCACATTTTAAAAACCAAACAGTTTCCATTGGTTATAAGGCAGACTGTCATTAATTGTTGTGCTTCCACCCTTTTACGCTAAGCCCAGGATTACTTGTGATTTCAAAGCAGCACTGGAATGAAAGTTGTTCTCCTGGGTCTTGTTACTCACTCTTGAGGCACACAACACCCTTGGGCTTTTAGCTGCAGAAGTTAACTTGGGCAGACAGTCTCATCTACAAGCATAATACTGAAAATAAAAAGGCTTCACGCTTTTTAAAAAGCTGAAGACTTATTCCCTGGATTCTACTCAGGTACGGTAGGACCTTGTTTTGCATTCTTCCTCACACATACAGTGTCATGCCTTATGTTTACATATCTATTTTGAGCAGCACAAATTACATGCTTCAGTGGTATGCATGTGAAGAGGAAATCCAAGTGCGTGGTCAAAATGTCCTTCAAATGAAAAGAAAAAATTAAATCTCCTCCTCCAACATAAAGCCTCTGAAAACCTAGTGATTAAGCCACTGATTCTAGCACTCTTAAACTGAAGTAGCATGCAAACCAGATTTCCCAATGACTGAAAAAGTACTGTAAATATTAGGCTCCTATGCAAAACCAGGTGCTGCTATAATGATGCCTCACATGACTGACAGTGGCTTATTCTCCCAAAACAGGAAACACTCATTAACTTAGACCAGCATCTCTTAGGAAGTTTTGGGTTAATCTGCACTACATCTAATGAGTCTAGACCCCTGAAAGTTAAGCACTGATGAAAACTGAATGATCCTGTATAGCTGCATGGAATGGCAGTATGTTTTCCAGTTGACTATAGCCCAGTTTACATCAGCCAGATCCCATTCTTTACACCAACATTAATGATTTAGATTCAAAGTGGAGAAACAGGAAAGAAGATAACAGGGAGAAAAAAAATACAAAGAATCGCTACCATTTTCAAAAACTCGTGGAAAAAATAACTTCTGAATGAAAAGACAAAAAGATTAATTAAGCAAATACAATATAGCACATGTATTTTTCTCTGCTGTCCATTTGGGTATGTAGGAATTAATTAATTAACTGGAAGGGTGGGAATTGCTTGATTCTTTAAGAGGTTATTCAAATGATTCCTAGTGCTTGGCCATCTTAACACAAAGTAGTACAATTAGTTTGATTTTGTATTTTAACTCAGTCTGACCTCCAGCTGCACGTCCCACACACTGCACAAAGTACATTCAACCTTTGAGCAGTAAGGACCTCCTCACACACAACAGTCAAGTCCAACCATTGGATGAAAGCTACTGCAAAAAAAGCTACTGCAATGAAATTTCAGTTTCCTGGAAGGTGCCTAGAAAGAGAGCTCTAGAGGAGAACCCTCACTGCCTGCAACAGGAATTACTTCTACATTCTTTTCTACAATAGAAAATCCAGAAATTAATGGCAGGACAGCATCTCCAAGCACCAAAACAATGCGATACCTTAAAATGTAGCCCATGCATGCAAAAATTGGGAACAGTAGCCTGTTCATGGTGCAGTGATAGCAATATGCACTTTGTTAAATGGATGCCTGTTTGGAGCACAACAAATTATACCTTTCAGTATCCATTTAAAGCAGTACAAATTACATGCTTTAGTGACCTTCTCCTTCTATGGTGCAGCTGAGAAAGCTACAATTGAAAATAACAACTAGGGCTCTAGGCTTGAAACTTTCTTTTTATTAGTCTATATTTTTATGTTTATTTTTTCTATAAAGATTTAAGTAAACATAAGATGTCATAGGATAAGTTAAGAGCCAAGAAACTTCATGTCCTCGCCTTTTGAGAAATAAAACTCTGGAACAAACCACTGTACCACGAAACAACTACAGAGTGATTTTACAGCTAAAACTCTTAGTAAAATACTGACCTCATCAAACTCATCACCAAATGCAGCTCTGTTTGAGATAGCTTCTGAAATTTCCTGAGCAACATCTTGCTGTTCAGTGATATCCTGCATCAAGTCATCAATTTTGTTCAAGTCCCTGCAACATAACAGAGAGCAGTTTTCAGAGATACGTTATTCAAATTGTGCAGAAGGGACTCAGAAACACCTAAAGAGACCCCAGTTTATTTCTATTTAAGCAGAAGAACTCATGTGGAGTAATTTCCTTTACTTAAACCTTACTGTTTCCTGGCAAGTTTTAGTGTGTTTCGCTCAGTCCAATTCCTTCCACTCTGGCATAACAACACAAGTCATTCTGCAGCAGCCTGTGCTTCCCCTCTTTCTGCTTCTCATACATCCATCAGCCAACAGCTACAATCACTGGGCAGAGCACATCTCCTTCCTGAGGAGGAGGAGATCCAAAGATCCAAAGGAGAAGATCTTTATAAATGGATCTTTTTTGATGTTAAGCATTCATCAAAACTGGTGGAAACTTAGGACCACACTTAAAAGTTTCCCCTTATTGTTAACTTCATTATTGTTTTGGTTCCTGTTTACTTTTGCCAGAACAACCTTTCTGATATAACTCTTTATTCAGGCAGGAAAACACCTCATGAAACAACATAGGCCATATAAAAGTATTACACACACAAAAAGAAAAAAAAAAAACTCTATCTTTTATTCAAGCCTAACTAGTACTTTGAATCATATATTCCAGCTTACAGACTTTGAGGAAGAGCATCCACCTAGTTGAAGAAACCCAGTTTTATTGTAGAAAACTTGAGGGCAGCAGCAGGTCTCTGCTGCCAAGGCATGTTTAATTAAAGAAAAAAAGTGCCATCTGGATCTCTTTAGTTAGCTGGACTTCCACTTAAACTTGCTCCCAAGAAAAGATATTTTTCTACCAAATATAACACAACAGCACAAACAGCATTCCTGACATTAAATGCTTGAACCAAAATGAAGTCAAAAACTGAATGACTAGATACAACAGACCATAGCAATGATATAGTTTAAAAGTTGTTACCAAGCTCCTTTTGAAAGCTAGTAGAAGTGACTTACATATTTTCATGCACTTTTTTCATAGCTTGTGCAGCATAACCCATATTCTTGAGCACTTCTGTGTTCGTGTGTGAATTCTCCAGTGCCTCTCTCTGGAATTCAATGGTTGAGAGTGTCCCATCAATTTGACTCAGCTGCTTCTCATACCTCTTTTTTCTCTTCAGTGCTTGTAAAGCAGCTGGAATGCAGAGAGGCACAGTACATTTTGTATTTTCATAGCAAAACACAAGGACAAGCAGTTCAGTAACAGTCTGACCAGGAGAAGTCACACTTCTCACCCTCCTACCTTACTAGCAGAGAAGCAAACTTTGACCACATCGGATCAGCAGCCTGCTTATCACCAACATGCTGTTGCATGAACATGCTGGAAAGCCTCTTTTAGGTTAAATCCTTTTAGAACAGGCAAAAGCAGCTTCTTCTTCCACTATAGAAGTTCTTGAATTCCATCATGTGCATGTGGGGAAAACAGGGAAGATAGGGATGAAAAAGAAAAACATCAAAGAGAAATCAGAAAGTAGGAAATGAGAAAGAAAAGAAGAGATTGCAACACCCAAGGAAAAACTAAGGAAGACAGAGCAAGAAGATCTGGAATAATGGCCACCTCTCCATCAGTGCTGTTTTCAAAGTTTTGTCTCAGTAGCAGAAAGTGTCAAGTGTAATAGCAAGTCCAAATGACCTAACCTTAGCTCAGAGGGAGGATTCACACTTCTTTGGCTTTCAGTTGTATCTTCTGTTCCTTGTAGTCAGCAAGGAACATATATTTAAAACTCAGAACTTGAAAATATATAGAAGATACAAGGCTTTTGTGGATAAGACCACACCTAAATCCAGCACCTATTATCTCTTTAAATCAGAGAGATTACTGTTCTGTAAACAGTATACTTTGCCCAGAGTAAATCATTACCAGCATAAATGCACGTGACAAACAGAAGGAGAAAAGAGCTTTCACTCAGTTTCTGGGTGTGGAACACACAGTCTTGCCATAAGCATTTCCTGACCACTATTCATTCCAAACTCTACATGTGCCAGGCAAGATACAGCATACAAAAGAGACTGAGTTGTGACTTAAAAAAAAAAAAGAGAGAGAAAGAGAGAGAGAAAGAGAGACTATTGCTTTTTCAAAGCCAGTTAATAGCTGTGTCTTTTTTTCCTGTTATATTTAATTTTTTAATCATGTTCAGAGCCAGCAAGCAACTGCAGTTCCCAGTCAGTGGAAAAAAGCAATTACTGTTGGTGTTCTGTTTAAGTGTTAAGTGTTCTGTTTAAGAGTTTCACTCGTGTGAAAAACAATGAATCTAGACACTGGGGAATCCAGTTCTCCAAATAAAGTGAGAATACCCTAAAATATCTATTTACTGCTTTACTGACAAGTGCTTGAATCGACATGGTCAAAATTGCCATCATTAGCTGCACAGGGATACATACATACACACAGACTCTGAAATAAAGTGTCTTTAGAATCTACAGTAAAGTGTATGAGGACAGCAAACCACAGTCAAAATAGATTAACTCAGTATTTAAATTCAGTATTTAGCCAACTTTTGGGACACAGTCTGAAGCTTTGCAGTCCCAAGCATGAATATAGGTTGGGAAATAAGTGGACTGAAAGCAGCCCTGCAGAAGAGGACATGGGGATGTTGGTGGATGAAAAACTGAACAAGAGCCAGCAGTGTGTGCTTGCAGCTCAGAAAGACAACTGCTTTCTGGGCTGCATCAGAAGAGGGGTGGCCAGCAAGGGGAAGGAAGCATCATCCCCCTCTACTCTGTCCTTGTGAGGCCTCACCTGCAGTACTGCGTTCAGGTCAGGAGCACCCATCCTAAAAAGGAGACGGGGCTTTGGAGAGAGTCCAGAGGAGGCCACAAGGATGATCAGAGGGCTGGAGCACCTCTCCTATGAAGACACTGAGAGAGTTGGGAGCTTTCAGTATGGAGAAGAAAAGGCTTCAGGGAGACCTTAGAGTGGCTTTTCAGTGACTTGCAGAACAAAGGTCTTGTTAGCAAATCAATTCATACTTTTTTCTTATCAACCCATCTGTAACATATTCCCACTAGACTACATGATCTTTTCACTTATATTAAATGAATGCCCTTAATTGCAGGGTTCTGTAATTATACCCCCTACAGATAAAATACGAGAATTTCAATGTAACTTGAAATCTGTTTTTCTGTTTTACAGATTGTAATTAAATTTACTTTTAAGTAATTTTCCACTGCACATACAAGCATATTAAAATCTGTGTACCAGTTCTTGCCAGCACAATATTTAAATGCTTCACAGAAATGCTACTGCATAATAAACTGAAACATAATTTCTATTAATTAAAAAAAAAAAAAGAAAAAAGAAAAAGAAAAATTGAGGAGAACATCAACTTACTTTACTGAAGCTCTAAGAATGACACTGAAAGAGAGCGTTGCCCATTTCCAAGATTTCAGAAAAGGAAAGACAGCCAGGTAGGATGAGTCTAAGTAGGGGAGAGTCTGAGGAAGTAATCATAATACCAGTTTAACCAGGACGAGGTGAAGGTCTTCACCAGGATAAAAAGAAAGCAGTCTCAGATGCTCTGTTTTGCCCCAGTGAAGCAGATTCAACTCCTGCATTTCATAATGGAGTGGTTAGCAATTCCTTGTAGTTTACCAGTTGTATTGTGCTCTACTTCAAGTCCAGCAAGCAGGACACAGCTCAGTAGGATTAGGAACCACTGCTTTTAATTTGAGTTTTTATTCTATCTTCCAGTCTAGTGATTGGAACAGCAACAGATTATTGCATCAGTGTAGGAGTGCGTATTGAAGAACTACTGTTAGTTATACACAGACACTTTTCCAGCATCGCTGCTAAGCTGATGCTTTAGTAAGGAAGAAGAAATGACCAAAATTGGCCATTTCTGGCAACAGCAATAGTAATTCTGACCACACTGAATATCCAGGTTTCTAAAGTAAAGAATACAAACAGTGGCACAGTCGTGGCACTTTCATCACAGTCTCATGATAGATCAGAATTCAAAATTATCACTGTGCTTTCTCATTTTATCTACAAGCCCTCCACCAATTTCTATCAGTACAGGAATTGGTAATCTCATGAAGTAAAATTAAGAACATCGTATAATAAGCTCTAAAATTCTCAGGGGAAAAGTGGTTATGTCTTCAGAAGACATAACACCACTGTGAAAACACTGGATCTCATTCTTGACTAAGGTTCACAAAAACTCCATGTCCCATAAGAGACTGATGGATTACAGAATCTGAGCTCAAACTAGGAACACTGAGATGAAATGCTGTCGTGGCCATAAAAATGGCACCACCTTAAGATTATTATCAGCACTCTTAATCTTTAAAAACCCTGTGAGGAAAGCCACATACAGTTACAACTGAGGCAATAATTCGGTAACAATAAAGCACTTGACTCATTATAACCACTCCAGCTGACAGCAAGATACTTTGAATGTGACCAAAAAGAGCAGAGAACAATGGCTGTAAGTCACAAAACAAAGACATGCTTAAAGGTTTCCTCCTCTCTCCCAGCCACAAACCTTCAGTGCCTACCTGTCACACACCCTGTCACACACTGCAGGAATGATGGCCCTGCCCCTACCACCATGCAACTGCCACATTGCTCTTCAGTTTCAACAGCATTCTGGCTACAAGTAGCTCATAGAAAAGGAATGCTACATGGCTACACGAACCTTGCCCAAATGTACCACACAAGATACTTAGCAGCATCCACTCATATAAGCCTACCTGTTATTCCAACTTTCTTTACAGGTTTTGTTCTCAGTAGTATTATATGGCTCTATAATATATCCGTATTTTAGGATCTGTGGTAGACTTCAGGCTGAAACAAAGTTATTTTCACAGGCACTGACACACTTCAGAAAACCCTTTTCCTTCTCAATGGACTTCTCAGGCAGCAAAACAGAAATAAAAGACATGCATGTCTGTGGAGGTATGAGATAGGACAGGCGAAGGAAGATTCAGAGGCATAGGGATTATTGTTAGAGCAAACAAGCAGTAACAGCAAGGCAGCTTTTGAAGAACAGAACACAAACACTCCCCAGGACCACCGTGGAGGGACATTTTCTTGTACTTTGTGCTTATTCATACATTTAGCATTACTGATAAAATTGCATTTAGCATTGCTGATAAACTTGCTTTAAACAAATAAACAAAAAGTCCTGGTCATCATTCCATCACTCAGTTAGCAGTGGAGGCAGTAGCCCACCACATGCTAAAAGAATACACAATATGAAGGTGGGGAGTTTCAGGTGAAATAGCTCTCCTATGCAGTGAGCTGTATTGGATCCTAACCCACAATCATAAAGAAACTGGGTGTTGTCATTGCTAACCCGGACATGATGAGCCAAAGAAGCACAAAGAAAACATGTCTTGCATCTCTTCAGCACTACCCCAATTTCTCAACTCGAGCCTCATCAATTCTGACACTTTGGATCACTTTCTGTCCTTTAAATTTTCCTGCGTGACCTTCAGAATATTGAAGATGAAAGGTCAGCATGCTGCTGGAGTTGGCAGCTGTGCACTGATTGAAACATCAAGAGATACTCTAGAAAATAAAGCAAGAGATATAAAAAAAAATCCTGAGTTATGATCTGATGTGGTGAGACATTTGAAGGCAATGCGAATTGTACAAATAAATACTGCTCATCATGACATAACCTCTCCAACGGGAATTCCAGCACACACTGTTGTTCAGAAAACCCTGTGATAGTCTGGCTACAATAAAATGTTACCATTAGGTAACATGGCAAATGTATCATCCCCAAAGCACAGCTAATTTCAAATTAAATACAGGAACTGCAGAGATGCAGACTTCATGAAGGAGATGCCAAATATATTTAGCTGACACTTCAGATCTGTTTACATAGCTAACATGCTACGGCTTTAAGGCAAATTAAATCTTCTGATGTCACATGAACCCATCCAAGACTCAGACTCATCTGAACTCATGAAAAATTGCTAGCCCCTGAATATGATCTCACTTGTGTCAGTAAAACTGACTCACACTCATGAGCCTAAAAATCAAATGAGATCATACTAACTTGGAGCACTGTCCGTACCTGGATAAATCCTGCTTCATCCCAGTCACTCCTGTTTTAAGTTCCACAGGCTCCTCCACAGGCACAATTATGAAAAGAACATATCAAGCTACCCACCAGCTCCTTTTGAAACATTTGCTTTAGCAAGGCATTGTAGATTCCAACTTTTATTCTCTCATTCACACTCTGTGTTTATGCAGCACTACTATAGGTGCAGTCTAGCACAGATTTCCTCTGTAACACAGCACAGGGAGCAGTTAGTGTTGTTATACATTAATGAACTGTGATACAAACTAGCACAAACGTCACATCAAATGAGGGATATTCTTGGGGAATTAAGCTTACTCAGGCTGCCAAATTCAATTGTTGTGGCACAGCAAGGTGAGTTTCTCTCATTTCTCATGAGTGCAGTTTCACCACTTCCTTTTGGCTTTAAAGCCATTTTTTACATTAAAAAAATCCTTCTCTGAACTTCTTGCCCTACTTTCTCTTTACTGACCTTAACTGTGGGTTACTGAGCAAACGACAAGAAAGGTCAAAGGGAGTTATTTTTGACCACAATCAGTTCAACAATCCAGTTTGCAACAAGACTTCACATATACCTGCATAGATAAAACCAGAAGGATTGCACACTGAGTGCACCAGAGGAAACAAACACCTGGGAGAGAAGCTTCACAAGGCTAATGCCACATGTGTTAAGCATAAGGCAATGGACTGACTAATAGCTGGAACCCACATAAACCAGTCAGGTTGCAGAAGCAGATCCACCTCCCAGTACAGTGAGTAATTGCTGCCTCTGCACCATTCTCTCCTTCGCAGGTGCCCAAACTCTTCTGCAGCAGCCAGAGAAACTTAACCTAGCCTGGGTAAAAACAATCTAGCTGAAAAACTAAGACATTTTATAGCTGCTTTCTGGAACACACCCTTCAGGAAGCTCTGACAACAAAAGGATGGGAGTAGTGTGAGGCAGGACTGAAGCAGGAAACTGCAGTAATGCCAGCGTAAAGTGCAGGCTTGGCACGAAGTTCTATAGCAACATGTCTGGGTCTTGGTAGGAATTGCTATTGGCATGGGAATGAGCCTGTTTCCTTGTGTCAGCCCCACTGCTCTTGCGCAGTGACCCAGCTCTGGGAGCTATCTGGTCACTGTGTCCCACAGCGTGACTTTGTAGCCAGATTCCCTCCCTGAAGAGCCAGTGCCTGCACAAAAGGCCCAGGGAGACGATCCAGTTGAAGGCAGGGAAGTCTGTAAGAACTCTTAGATATCTGTAACATGACAGTCCTCAACGTGACATCCTTGAGAGCTCACATGCCACAGACAGACTCAGCTGCTGGGCTGGCTTTGGTCCCTTAAAATCTGACCAATTCCTACCAATGTTTTCTAATCCTAACTAAATACTTCCTGCTAACAACTATTAAGTGCTAAAGTATTACAAATACATTAAGGGGATAATCAAAACACTCCTCACAAGCTCTAAATTATATGGCATTAACTTTTTAAATTATCCAGCAACAGAAGGAGCAGGTGAAAGAACTACTCTTTTGTTACATTGTGAATATTTGATTCAGAACATTTTGCCTCTGTTTGGAAGCGTTTAAGAAAAAATAAATCTAGGAGTAGACAGTCAGGAATCCAGGCAACTTCAAGAAGTAATTATCTCGTTTCTCAAAGGTCTGTGTGTCCCTGTGGTTCCAACCATTTGCTTCCCGGAGACGACAGCACTGATGTAAGCAGGATCCTGACCTTATTTATTACCGCCCACTGGTCTACAGGCACAAAACCAGTTAAGAATAAAGCATCCTCTTATCGGTCCGCCATAATGACTCTACAATGCACCACACACAAATGGATACCAAAGCCACCGCAGCGGCCAGTCGCAGGAACCTGGCCATTTAAAGACACACAACCCACTCAGGTCGCCACTGAAAGGTTCTCCCGGGCAGACACGGGGCTCACCTCGCCTGTTCTTAGTGCCGTGCTGCCGGGCCAGCGCCAGCTCCCGCTCAATCCTGGTCTCCAGGTACTCCTGCTTCTTGCTGAGCATCTCCTCCGTCTCCCGCAGCCGGGCCAGGGCCTCCTGCGGCGAGGGCCCCCCGCGGCCCTTGGAGGCCGCGGCGCCGCCCCCCTTGAAGAACCTGGAGATCTTGCTCATCGCGGCGTCGGAAGGCTCTGCCCGGGCCGGGCCGCCTCAGAGGCGCGATGGCACTTCCCGGGCCGCGGTACGGCACCTGGCGGCGGGGCGGGCCGGCCGGCCTCACCTCCCCGCCCCCGGATCGCGCGTATCCCAAGACCGGCGAGAGGGCGGCGAGCTCCGCGGGCAGCACCGGCGTTCACGGGCGGCGAGCGGGCGGCGCCGGGCGGGACGGAGGGCGGCGGGGAGGCGGGCCGCTGCCCGGCGGACGTGGGGCGGCGGCGGGGAGGCTCCTACCGAAGGAACGCTCCTGGCGCGTTTCTCTGCCCTGCCCCACCTTCTGCTGAGTGCTCACGGCGTGCCCTGGGAGTAGTGCAGGAAGCGCAGTCCTGTTTTGAGATAACCAGACATCGAAAGTTTAGGGATAGCTTTACAGCTTGTGTTTCCCTCCAATTTCAGGATCATAAAGGTTGGAAAAGACCTCAAAGATCATCTAGTCCAACTGTCAACCCATCCCCACCATGCCACTAAACCAGGTCTCCTCAGAGCCACATCTCCACGTTTCTTAACGCTGCCAGGGATGCTGACTCCACCACCTCCCTGGGCAGCCTGTGCCAGTGCCTCACCACTCTTTCTGACAAGAAATGTTTCTGAAAACCCAAACTGAATCTCCCCTCACACAACTTGAGGCTGTTCTCTCTCATCCTATCACTGTTACCTGGAAGAAGAGGCCATCCCCCACCTCACCATACCCTTCTTTAAGGCAGTTGTAGAGGGCAATGTGGTCTCCCCTGACCCTCCTCTTCTTCAGACCAAACAATCTAGTTCCCTCAGCTGCTCTCCATAGGACTTGTGCTCCAGACACACCATGTCAGGATCACAGAACTGTAGGGGTTGGAAGGGACCTCTGGAGATCATCTAGTCCGACCAACCCCCCTCCCAAAGCGAGTTCCCTACAGTAGGTCACACAAGAAAGTGTTCAGACAGGTCTTGAATATCTCCAGAGGAGACCCCACAAGATCTCTGGGCTGCCTGTTCCAGTGCTGTCACTCTGACAGTAAAGAAGTTCTATGTTCTGTTTGTACAGAACTTCCTGTACTCCAGTTTCTGCCCATTGCCCCCATTGCTGCTCTCCATCAAAAGGAGTCCATTCTCATGGACTCGACTCCCACATTTTACGTATTTATGAAGTGATGAGTTCTCCTCTCAGCCTTCTCCTAACTGAAATATCTCAGGTCTCCCAGTCTTTCCTTGTACAAAGGCTTTGTTGCCCTTCATAGGACACAGTCCGTGTCCTCAATGTTTCTTCCAGTGAGTCTCATACTGCAAGAAGGAGTGTTTTGAGAGGAACAATCACCTCACTAACAATGCCAACCAGCCATGAATGTGCCAGCACCTGATGCATGTCAGTGACAAGCAGGTGACACAGACTCCTTGTAAATACTGGGTGCAGAAGTCAGTGGTGACACAAGCTCTGTGGTGGCGAGTGGCAGCTGTTAGCCATGCTCTGCAGCGTGCTGCAAGAGGACACTCATGTGTAAGTGCCCTGAGGCTCTGGTACGGCCTCACCTCAAGCATGCATGCAAATTTGAGTGCCGCGACGTAAGAAGGACTTGAAACCATTAGAGAGCATTCAGAACAGAGCTACAAAGATGGTAAAGGAACCAGAGGAGCAGCTGAGGTGCCTGTGTGTGCTCAGCGCAGAGCAGAGGAGCTGAGGGGAGGCCTGATGGCGGCTGCAGCTCCTCACAGGGAGCGGAGGGGCAGCGCTGAGCTCTGCTCTGTGTGACAGCGACAGGGCCCGAGGGAACGGCATGAAGCTGCGTCAGGGGAGGGGCGGGGGGGGGGCAGGGACAGGGGCTGCACCACAGGGCGGTGGGCACGGAACGGGCTGCACAGGGCAGTGGGCGGCTGCCAGAGTTCAGGGAGTGTTCGGACAGAGCCTTCTGACATAGGGTTTGAATTCTGGGTGGTGCTGCACGGATCCAGGAGTTGGACTCAACTGGCCTTGTAGGTCCCCTTTAAGCCGTGATGATTCTATCTTAAAAACGCACATAGGACTGATAAAATAAAGAGTAAATTTTGATAGGAAAGAAACGCAGTTTTTTCAGAAACGTAGATGCACACCTATGGAAACCACAGCAGTGGTTAGCAATTAAAAGAGCGCAAGAAAAATCTCGGGAGCTTGTCTTCTCCCTCCGTTTCCTGGACACGCGCTTTTCTGCATCCGACACGACTCAAAAGAACCAGAAGCACGAACCACTTTTTCCGCCAGTAGCAGCAGGCGGACAGCCCGATGCCACCTGCGGGACGCTCCCTGAGCGGCAGCAGCGGGGAGCCACCGCGACGGGTAGCACAGCCTCCCGCCAGGTGCCGCAGATCCCGCCCTGGGGCAGGGAGAGCCGCATATCTGCATACGTACTCCCGCCCCTTTTTCTCCCTGTTCCCCCGTGCCCTCCCCCTGCCCGGTCGGAGTCCTCCAGCAGCCCGATAGCGCTTGCGCGTCTCTTTCGCTCAGCTCCCCGCCCCTTCCGTCTGTGGCGGCGCGAGAGGAAAATGGCGGAGCTGTCGGTAGGGCAGCACTGCGGGGTGTCGCACTGCCACCAGCTGGGTGAGCAGCGGGGCTGCGCGGCTCTATGGGGCCGGAGGGCGGGCGCTTCCTGGCAGGACAGCATTTGTGCTGGTGCAGGGCTGGTGTTATTCTGTTTTTCCACTCTTCCCCCATGGTTGATTTCAGGAAACGGTGTTAATGGAGAGGTAACCAGAAGGAGGCAGCGGATCTCATCTGTAGGGTGGGAAAACGCGGCGAGTGGGCATTTGCAGTCGGCCAGCATTCTGTACGCTGCGTTTTGAGAGCCTCACTTAACTAATTGCTCAGTATAAGCGATGAGTGTTTAGAGTATAAGCGGCTGGTGTTCTACTTTCAGTGTTTGATACTGGAGGGAGAAAAAATAATTCCTTAAAAATAGCATCATTACAGAACGTATATACATTTAATTTACCTTCTCGGGTCAATTTTCTGTAATGCTAACTGGAGGAGTTAGCGGTGGAACTGGGCCACAAAAGCCACTTTGGGGTATTGTGTGACTGCAATTGTTAAATGTCCATGTGGAGACACCTACCCCGTGATAAAAATAAACAAAACTTAAACATGTAAAAATTAAAATAAAAACTATTAGCAAACAACAACAACAAACAAACAAAAATCCCACAAAAGCTATGTTGTTTAACTGAAAACAAATCTCCCTTTCCAGTTTTAAGTTGGAGGGAAGATTTAGGTTGGATATCATGGGGAAGCTCTTTGCCAAGAGAATAAGAGAGGTGCTGGAACAGGCTGCCCAGAGAGGTTGTGGATGCCCCGTCCCTGGAGGTGTTCAAGGCCAGGTTGGATGGGCCCTGGCAGCCTGGTCTAGTATTAAATGGGGAGGTTGGTGGCCCTGCATGTGGCAGGGGGGTTGGACCGCGATGATCCTTGGAATCCCTTCCAACCTGGGCCATTCTATGATTTCTTTCAGATTTTCTCCCCTTTGTATGTGATGGCTGTTCAGGTGTTTTTTGGTAAGTTTTCCGATAAAATTTCAGTGTAACAGTTGTTGGAGACTCAAATGTTTTGTGAATGTGAAGTAACTCAAACTAGATATGTTCAGTTAAAAAAAAAAAAAAAAATATATATATATATATATATATATTTTTTTTTTCATTGCCTGTTCTCCCAAGCAGCTGTTTTAGAGATTTGAAATCAGAGTGTGTCTCTGGAATGTGGTTAACTATTATGGAAGGCATGAGGGTTAGACCTTGGTTTGTACTGATGTTAGTATTTGTTTTATGTAGAAAAAAAAAATAAATTTCTTCCAGGGTATCAAATCAGAGCAGAGAAATGATTTCACTTTAAAATTGTAGATGCTCTCAAAGCATTTCTGGCATTGTGGAGAGTGATCCAAAATACATTAAAGTAGACAAATTCCAGTTGCTTTGAGCTGAATTCTTAAGCATGCTAATGACCTTACTGTCTTGGAATGCTTTATTAAGTTTGGGTGTTAAGTCCCAAGAAATGAATAACTGTGGTGGTGGAGTCACTGGCCTTGGAGGTGTCCAAGGAACATTTGGATGTTGTGTTGAGAGACATGGTTTAGTGAGAACTATTGGTGATGGGTGGATGGTTGGATTGGGTGATCTTGTGGGTCTTTTCCAACCTTGGTGATTGTATGATTCTTTGCTTCTCAGGTAGCAAAGCACCACACAGTCGTTTGTTAGAATAAATTTTGAGAATTGAGTTGAAGTGTTGCCATGATAAAACTTGTTAGATTGCACTTAAAACACTTGTATGTTTTTATGTGCACTTTTCTCCTCTTGAAATGATGATAATGTTGTGATATTTTCTTCTTTTGCCACTGAGTCTTCAGCACAGGAGCCGGGATGCTCATGGATGTTCTGAGGTAATCTAATAATATAGGACTACCTTTAAAATTCTGTGCAACTGAACTAGCTATTTTCAGATTAGACATATATGCATAGTAAATACCTACAAATTATTAAACTGAGAGTGATTGACAAGCTTAAAAAAATGAATGTACTCTTTCTCTGTGTTTCAGAATTAAGTTTGTTTAGGAGGATGGTTTTTTTTCTAACAGCTGTATTAATGAGAAGTAAGAGAGAATTGCTAAACTAGTTTTACCTAGAGAATGGAGAGCAGGCACAGACCTTCTCAGTAACCAGGCTGGTGACTTGTCTGTGATGTTTATTTACACAGAATATTTTGTACTGATGCTTAGGTGAATATAAGAAACAATTCTGTGAAACCAGATCAGCACAGATCTTACCTATGCTCATATAAGGACTGCCACGCGAAGGAACTTTTGCCAGTTTTATGTCCCTACTGTGAAAAACATTTTTGCCTGAGGTGAGTGGAATAGTGTTTAAAGATAAATGTTTGTTCATTAGTGCATGGGGCAAAAATTAATGCAAGCTTTTGTCTCTGTTATTTATAGACATCGGCATCAATCGGATCATGAGTGTGAGAAACTGGACACACCACAACCTCGAATGGTTGCCACTCAGAAGCTAGTTAAAGATATTATAGGCAAGTACAATGAAAGATAGGTATACACTACAGTTTTCTTCAGAAGGTTTGTGGCCTTCTTTAATGGTCTAGGCTGGAGCTTGTTTGAATAGCCTTAAACTCACCTGTCAGCATGTAATTGTGTTCACTGAGACTGCAATAAGAAAAGAGTAGCATATACCTAGAAATAAAGTTTTTGAAAATTGAGAGGAGATTCAAGTTTCTTTCAGAATTACTGCATTGTTTTGATTCAAGTACTATCATGTAATTAATTTTAGTTTAGTTAACTTTGCATCTTAGTTTATACGCAGATAATGGTTGTATTATGTGCACATGCCCAACTGCTGGGATTATACCTATGCAATCAAGGTGGCAAAAAAAGAAAGTGAGTCCACAATACAATTTTTCTAGCTTTTATGCAGGAAAGAATAGAAAGCACTGCCTAACTGGCGCATGAGTATTATATGTAGAAAGGAGAACCTAAACCTATTGCCATATGAATACTGTGATCACCACAGCTACAAAAGCATTGGAATTTGTGTTTCTTCAGCTTTTTCAAGTTGTTTACCTGGTTCTTTTGCTGATCTGTCTTTCCATGCAGCATGGTTCTGTTACATCATAAATATCCTTGAATAGGGGTACATAATATCTTGTCTTCAGGAGGACAGGAAGGGAGTTGACAACTTAAGAGATACAATAAGGCTTATAGCATAGAGATTGAATATAAGCTTGTTCCAAGATATGTTCATGAGAAATTTGACTCATACTAACACAAATAATATTGTTCTCAGATTCTAAAAAAAATGAAGAAATAAAAAGCAAAAAACTCAGAGGAGCAAGAAACAGTGAAACAGCAGCTAAAGTGGCATTAATGAAACTGAAAATGCATGCATGTGGTGACAAGTCCTTGCCTCAGGTCAGTCGTACTTGGTTTCCATAATTTACTTCTCAAAGGAAAGGAAACGTTTTCTTACTTTTTCTTCTAGTTCTCTCAGTTTGTTTTTGGATTTAATTCTCCAAGGCCTCAGTCGTTTACACATAGATTTCAACTTGGCATCCAAAAGCTGTCTCACTGATCCCATGTCTTTTGTAAGGTGTTTGTTTAGAGTTTAGAACAGTCAGGTCCTTTAAAACAGAATTGTGTTAGCACGCCAAGTTTAGGCCTCTGAGATTGGATTTATAATAGTGAAAACATTCTGTGTGATAATTAGGTGTTTAATTTCTTTTAAAAAACAACTGCAGATACTCTGTTACTGAGTCCTCTTAATGAATTTATTTTTTTCTGTACTCATCGTGCTTTAAATTAGATAGGTCTTCTGCTATGAGCAGGGTTATTACAAAAACCTGCTTGTAACACTTCTCACAGTGTCACTGTAAGAAATATTTCCTGAAGAGAGATTAATTTCAAATATTATGGAACATAATTTTTAAAAGCCTGTCATCAGAACTTACAAGAAAACTTAAAAAGTGGCATCCTATTTCAAAGCTAGTAAAGTCTTAACAAGTCTAACACAAATTACTGTATGCTAGTTTCTCTCATTAATAATTTTCTTATTTGGATATTAATTCTCCAACCATCTAGAATAAACTCTTACACCTCTCTATTGCCTCCTAGAGAAATTCTAGGTAATCATTTTTTACTCTTCTCTACTGCCCAGCTAGTTCTGGTTTGACAGATTTTTTTTTAATATGAAGTTTCTCAAATGCTTCTTAGGCATATTGATTCTCTCCTCACTGAATAGTGAAGTTGTAGATGTTCAAAACTTGACCGAATCTGACTTGACACCACCTGAGCAGTCCTTGTAGTTAGTCTCAGCTTTAATTTTGCCTTGCTTTGAGCATGGTCTGCACCATGTGACCCCAGCAGTCCTTTCTAACTAAGATCAGGAAAAAACAGACTATCTTAGAAATGTCTTTTCTCTCTTGATAGACCAGGGATCAGTTTTCTGCAGGTAATTGCTTCTTTTGGGTGCTCCTTTCAAGACTGACCAGCTCAAAACAGGAGGGTCATGTGGCAATATAGTGTTAGTTATTGTATGCTTGACTGACTGATATTCTCTTGGATATGGCATAGAAATTCCAGGAGACACATTCCAGAGTTAAGGATGCAGCAGTAGAATGAGCAGCTTTGTGAATTATGTTGCAGTGAGCTGTGGGAGACTGCTTCGTCATCCTTAGAACTGGAGGAGGAACTGGAGGAAGGTGCTAGGACACTGTTAGAAGCTAAGTTACATTAGCATGTGTTTGTAATAAGATGGCTGTGTTAGCTGTTTTACAACTTCATTTACGTTTTAGAAAGATTCAAGTCCTGCTTCCCTTTACCCTTTGTAGTGTTACAGATTTTTGTGTGAGGAAAATGCACAGGTTGAAAATCATCCTTAGTTTTATGAACAAGCTGACAGGAGGATAGATCTGTGTTTTTTGTTTGTTTTTTTTCCTAGGGAATGCTTAAATAAATCCTTGAGAAAGAGGACCTCTGTCTTGTTTGACAGTGTCTGGCTTGGATTTGTAAAGCACAGACTCAACTGATGAATATACCAATGCATTATGTTTTGCTTTTCTGATTTTATTTTCTTTTCATTTTTATGTTTTTATAAATGTAACTTGTTTTTATGTTTTTCTAGACAGAAAGAATTTACTTTCAAGTACTTCTACCAAAGGGAAACAAAGAGAAAAGCAAGCCTATGTTCTTTTGCAGTAAGTGGAGTATTGGCAAAGTAGTAGATTATGCAGCATCCTTAGCAAGCCTTAAAAATGACAACAATAAATCAACAGCCCAGGTAAATCAGTAATAATATTTACACATCCCTCCCTCTCCTCATGGTCCCTCTGCCCCCTTCCCCCTTTTTGCATCTCAGGCAAATTTTGATGTTAATTTCTGTATTAATTTTCCTGTAGAAATTGAGGTTATGCCATACTGTCTCTGGAGAAGCCTTGCCATTTGAGCACACGTTGGAAAAATGGCTATCTGATGAAGATTATCCGTTATTCAGTGGTGGAAATATAATTCTGGAGTATCTTGATAATGATGTTTTATTTATAGAAGATACAGAGTCATACTTAAGTTAGTAAAATATTGTAAACTAAACAGCAGAAGAAAATTTTCTAGAAATGTGGTGTTTAAACCAAGACCAGTTTCCTCTTCATAGAATCATAGAACGGCTTGAGTTGGAAAGGATCTTAAAAATCATGTAGTTCCAAGCCTCCAGCCATAGGCAGGGTTGCCACCCATGATAGAATCTGTTCTCACCTCTGGAAGACACAGTTTCCGCGAATTCTTCAGCTGCATAATTGGCAGAACTATGTCCTGAAAGGACTGCTAGTTGTTACAATAACTCATATTACAGATACTCACTAGCTAAAATAAACTGCTTTATTGACATTTTACAGCTAAATTTTATATGTATTTGTTTTTGTTTAAATGATGGCTAAATTATGTATTGATAAGTATTGAAAATATGCAGTCGCAGTGTGTCAGTTCTGTGAAGAAAAGGAGCACATTACACTCTTGCTGCACATTTTCTACGTCTACAGGAACAGATTTCAGATAGTTTGGAATGCAGCACTGGAGCCCATGCTTCAGATCCACATTTTCTTAGTGCATTGATTTTTAGAGAAGAAGCTTTATAAAGTAAAGATAATTCTCACATGTCTTTTCTGTGTTTTGGAATTTTAATATCAAGTTCTTTTTTTAATATTCCACCTAATTACCCTCTCTTAGTTAAGATTTCAAAAAGGAAGAAATATGGTTACACCAGCAGCACAGCTTTTAATAGCTTGTGGTTTCATCCTGTCCTGGTTTGGACAGTGTCTGTTTTAGGTAAATCTCTGTTGCATTATCTTCAGCAGTGTGCAAGATAGATTTTCTGAGTTTTAAAGGGGTTGTTGATGGTGCTTCGACATAATGAATTATACCTGCAGTTGCTTGTAGTGGCTTCTCTGATGTCAATCTTGTAATTCGGTTTGGAGGTCATTAAAAAGATTGTTCAAAGTATAATTAGATGTACTCCAATTTTTGTGTAGATGCTGCAGAAAGGAGGTGCTTTCCACAAAGGAAAGAGCTGATGAGCCAGAGTATAAGAAAGCACTGAAGTGCTGTTGTAGTTATGCTGTCTGGTGCGTCTCCAAACTTCTTTCCACCTTCCCTCGAAGTGACATACAGACATGCTAAGCAGGAGTCAAAGTTTTCTAACAATGTAGTTAAAGCATGGTTCTGCAATGAGAGCAGAACTGGTGATCATAGAATGGTTTGAGTTGGAAGGGACATTTAAGATCATCTAGTTCCAACCCCCTGCAATAGGCAGAGACAAGATGTAATTCATGGAATGGGGGGAGAATGGCTAGAAGTAAGGATGGCAAACTTTGAAGCAAAGATGTGTAGAAGGCTTTGAGAAATCAGTGGGATTGTCTTTGTAGGAAAAAGCAGTTTGATCTTCAGTGACTGAATATTTTAAAAATCTTTGGTTCACGATAGTGAAATGTTATGTGTGCATTTCTCCATTTTTCTCCCTACCTCTCTCTGAAGCTGTGTGTCATTTCTCTTTCTGGCATCTCTCTCTTGCCATTTCTTTTCTTCCCTTTCTTCTCACATCCCTTCACATGCCACCTGCAGGTGAAGCATATGGCTTACATGACTGTTCTACCACCTCTCCAACATAAACATACTTGGATAAGAAGGCTGAGCAGAGAGATGTGCCAGAATTGCCTGCATACAGCCTCTTCAGAAGTTTTACTTATTTCATAATACAGGTTTTCTCTGTGCATGTAACTGCAGGCAAAATGACTATAATAAAATTTACTGGAGCTGGGGAGAATGTAGACTAGGGGAAGTAGAAGTAAATCTTTGGGGAGATCTCAAAGGTTTCATAAGGAAGTTTGTTTTTCCCAATTGCCAGTTAATGCTATGAGCTAGCAGCCTGTAAATGACAGTACAAATACAGCAAGTCACAGTTGTTAGATCTCCAAGAATTTTTCACATTCACTTTCATCTTATTCCAAGGCTGTGTCTGGGATAATATGCAGAAGCTCATCCCACTCAGTTTTCAGAAACTGAGAAGCAGAAACAAATGAAGGCAAGCTGACAGACAAATAGCTGTCCTGATCATGGCATTCCTACACAGACTAGGAGTAAAAGCAGAAGCGTTCACTGAGCTGCAGTATCTTGTTTGAGATGGAATTGCTCAGGTGTTAGCTGTTTGACTTTAGCTTCTTTTTTTGTTATTTCTCTGTGTGAAAAAACTTTGGGAAACCCTAAATTTGCATCAAAGACTCAACTTTGCTTGGGTAAGTGACTTGTGAACCAACTGGGCAGTGCCAAAGTAAACAAGCAATACTATGTTGTGCTGAGAAAGCAGACAGCCATCTCTCAAGCAGTTTCTCTTTGTGTGTCTCTTAGGAAGAGAGAAGAGTATGTGCCCTGTAGTGTGTGATCTGCGTGGCCTGAAGATGTTTACCAGCAGATCTGTTGTCTTGCTTACCAGGTGTCATAACAAAAGCTAAACCATAGCCCACGTGCCTCTCTCAGTTGGTGCTACGGGTTTTAGTATAACCTTGCAGTGATGTGCAAAATAATCATGCAGGAAAACATCTGTACAAACTTTTAAAGACTGACAAACACTGCTTAAGGTCTCTACGACTCTGCCTGTTTGCAAAATGTGAAAGATGAAGCATGGAAAGGTGCAGTGACTCAGCATCCTGGCACTGGTGGGAATGGACACCACATTTCTGAGGTATAAAGGAAAAGGTGAAAGCTGCCCTGCAGAAGCACGCAGCTGTGGGTTGGGTTGCCTCTGGCAGCAGCAAACAAGTTACGGTCATTCTGAACCATAAAGTACATGCCAGCCCTTGTCCTCCTTGCTGTTTGCTGTGGATAAGTATCTTACATATGAGAGTAAACTAGATTAACTGCCATTTGTAAACACAAGATGCATCACTGTTTTATCCTGATGAAGGATGCAAGGCCAGACTTTGGGGAACATGGCTCTGCTCAGGCAACCTTACCAAGGAAAGCAATGACTTTTGTTTCCCTCTATGTCTCTTTAATTACGTTAACCTCAAAAATGCAGCTTTTTATTTTTGTTTCCAAAAAATCTGTCTGGATTGTATGGGCTCTTCTGGAAATTTGTATGTTTAAAAACAAAACCAGTGGTCTCTCAGGTTGCTGGTTTGGTATTATCTCCGCTACCAGCCCTAACGGGGGTGAAGGGAGAAGGGGAAGGCTGGGGGGAGGGAGGAGGCAGAGGAGGCTGTTGCACAGCTGCCGAAAGCTTCTAGAGAAAAATCTTGAACTGACAGAACCACGGCGCTCGGCGGGCACCGCGCACCCCACAGCCCCAGTCGGGCAGGCCGGGGACAGCCGGCGAAAGGCGCCGGTCCCCAGTGCGCATGCGCGCTGTAAGCAGGCGGTGTAGGGGCGTGGCTTGGCGCCTGCGGGGCATGCGTAGTGCCGCCGAGGCTGAAGGCTCACTCGGAGGAGCGGCGGCGGTTAACGGAGCTCGGAGGCTGAGGTCAGGTGAGGCGGCCCTCTGCTTGGTCGCCATTGCGGGATGCGGTGCTGCCCTCGCGGCCCTTCTCTCGCGTGAAGCAGGGGCTGCTCGCGACTGGGGCTGCCTTCCGACCTGACGGGACCGTTCGGAGCCCCGGTTGCCCCGTATGGCGGCTGGGTGCCGGTGGCCTGTGCTCTGCTGGGACCGGCGGGTGTGGGCTCCGCCAGCCGTGCCTCCGCCCTCAGTGAGGGGCTGAGCCGGCGGGGCTGGCCGGCCGGCGGCGGGAGGGAGAAAACAGCTCCGTCCCGTAAAGGAGCTGTTGCCGTTTAACTAGAATTCATGCAGGCTTACTGTCGGGATGGATTTCTGATTGTAACTGGTTGCTTTTCCTTTGCTGTGCCGTTGTGCTGGGTATCTGTGTGCTTAGCGGGACGTTGTTCGGTGCCTCTGGTAGGCAGCCCGGTGCCCGGCACCTTATTGGTGTTATCTGACTGGCCCTGTGTGCACAGGGCTCTGGGGTGAGTGGGTTATGAACGCAATTGGGCCATTGCCTCCTTGTGTTTTATGAAAGTAGGGTTTCTTTTGGCAATTACCAGCTGTTAGGACCTGGACTAGACAAGGGCCGTTAAATCAGGATGCTTAGGCTGGGGATGGGTCATGGTGATTGCATAAGGTTTTGTTAATGAACATTTATCCTTATAAATCGACAAGCATTTCAGGTCTCATCTTGCTCATCATGTATCAAAGAGAACTGCTTGCATAGGAACTACCTGGGGGAAGATCTCGAGAGCAGCCCTGCAGAGAAGGACTTGGGGGTCCTCGTGGATGAGAAGCTGGACATGAGCCAGCAGTGTGCGCTTGCAGCCCAGAAGGCCAACTGTGTTCTGGACTGTATTAAAAAAGGGGTGGCCAGCAGGGAGAGGGAGGTGATTGTCCCTCTCTACTCAGCTCTTGTGAGGCCCCATCTGCAGTACTGCGTCTAGACCTGGGGCCCCCAGTACAGGAAGGATGTGGAGCTCTTGAAGTGGATCCAGAGGAGGACCAGTAAGATGATCAGAGGGCTGGAGCACCTCTCCTATGAGGAAAGGTTGAGGGAACTGGGCTTGTTTAGCTTGGAGAAGAGGAGAAGGCTCCAGGGAGAGCTCATTGTGGCCTTCCAGAACTTGAAGGGAGCATATAAACAGGAGGGAGGATGGCTATTTACAAGGGTGGATAGTAGTAGGACAAGGGGGAATGGCTTTAAACTGAGACAGGGGAGGTTTAGGTTAGATATTAGGAGGAAGTTTTTCACAAAGAGAGTGGTGACACATTGGAACAGGTTGCCCAAAGAGGCTGTGCATGCCCCATCCCTGGAGGCATTCAAGGCCAGGCTGGATGTGGCTCTGGGCAGTCTGATCTAATGATTGGCAACCCTGCACATAGCAAGGGAGTTGAAACTAGGTGATCATTGTCCTGTTCAAGCCAGGCCAATCTATGATTCTATGATCCTATATGGAAGGCTTTTGAAAGGGCTGTGTCTCCAAAATGAGGCAAACCTCCAAAGCTGAATGAATGTGTGACCTGCTGCGGGTGTAGCAGTCATGATGTGGGTTGTGGTAATTGCTGTTTCACATAGGCATGCATACAGAGTGTGGTATTGGTAGCTTGTGTTGTTTCTTAATACATAAGCCTCTAGAAGATGCTTTTAAGTGACTATGGGATCTTTCTCATGTGGAATGAAAACCATTTCATGTTCATGTTTGGAACACACCCCTAGAGCAAAGAGTGACAGAATAAACAACAAAGTATAGGATTGGGGTTCATTCTTTTCTAATTTAAGACATTCGCATTCATTTAAACCATATTTGAAACTAGACTGAGCTTTATGTCAACAGTCTTCTGCAGTAAATTATAGTGATGATTCTATGGCTTTTAAGCAAACAGGCTTTGAGCTGTGCACTGCTCATTCATAACCACACTATGGCTTTTCAAAGCCTTTTTATACTTTAAGACCAGTGTCTAAATGTAAAATTGCATATATGCTTGTGTCTTTCAGCACGGAGGATTTGTACTTGTTAATGTTTTTATGTTGTGCCTTATTGATCATCACAAAATGTGCAAATAATTTGGTAACCTCTACTAGGCATTTAATAAATTTGAAATTCTTTCCTGAGTAAAAGATAATACAGACTTCTGTATTTCAATTAGGAGAAAACACTCAGGCTGATCAGGAAGAGTGAAAAATTAGGATTTATAAAAAAAGTAACCGTAATCATTTCTTGTGTTAACATATCCTTTTGGTAGGTTGTACGTCAAAGGAAACATGGCAGATCCTTGGCAAGAATGTATGGATTATGCAGTTACATTGGCAAAGAAAGCTGGGGAAGTAAGTATAAACCATTTATAACTAATAACATTATTTATTGAGGCTAGTATGTGTGTAGCTTTTGAATGAGCTTTGGTGTTGTCTATTCTTCTGAGGAGTATTAAAAAAAAAAAAGAAAGGAATTAGCACAGTAGTTAAATAAGTGTTTCAAGATTGGAGTGCCTTTCAGCTTGGTTAGTGTAATAGAGAACCTTGCATCTTTCTTGGAATGAGAGTCTAATAAAAACCAAGGAATATCTTTTTGTTCCTTAAATTTCATTTTAAAATTATTTTGGAATAATGGTAAGCAATGGGTGTTTGTTTTTTCCCTTAAATTTGTTTCCCTTATTTTTTGTATACCTGAAAACTGTTGACAGTCTTTCTTTGGAACACTGTTAGACTGTTAGTCAGCTTTACACAGTGACTTGTTGGCACATCATACCATGCTGTTTTCTCTTTCTGAAGAATGCTTTGCATCTACAGATAAGAAATATCTCTCACAGTGTTTGTACTTTAAAGTCTTACGATCTAAGATCTCTTGAAAGAGCTTTTCTGTCTTAGCAAAGGCTTGTCATAGGAGCTGTTAATGAAGGTTCATTTATTCACAGTAGTTCTGCTTGGTACAGCTGTCTGTAGCTTGAGAAGATGGCACGTATGTGTTAATGCTGTCCTTGGAGCTGCAGGGACAAAACATTGTCCCTGCAATAACCTCATTACAATCTTCCCTGAAAAAACTTTCTGAGTAAGCTAATAATCCGGGCTGTGAGGCACACATTCTTATTCAAGCTGATTCTGCCAGTTTTAAGATCATGAATGTCAGATCTGGCTAAAAATGTATCACATAAGCTCAGTCCTAAATATCTCTGTTTGTTTATTAATTTATAAATTTAGCACTTGTAACAAAACAGGGCTCGGTGTTATGTACCATTGTAAAGGTCATGTAGAAGTTTGTGCTGAGTAGGGAGTGCAGAAAGATGTAGGGATGAGCCCCTGCAATTAAGTGGAGATTTGCCACTGTTTGTCTTTTTGTTATGTATGTGCAGTGTAGAAAAACACAGTAAAAATGATGCCCAGTTATGCTCAGATTCCTGAGGGAACTAATTTTTTCCATGCTGTTAATGAAGAAAGCTGTTTTTTTTCCCTCTTTTTTTTTTTTTCTAACAGATAATCCGTGGAGCACTCAAAGAAGAAAAATCCATTATGATTAAAAGTTCACCAGTAGATCTAGTGACTGAAACTGATCAAAAAGTAGAAAACTTCATTATCTCATTGATAAGAGAAAAGTATCCTTCTCACAGGTATAGTGGATCATAGAATCATGGAATCACAAGGTTGAAAACGACCTACAAGATCATCGAGCCCAACCGTCCTCCCATTACCATTGCTGTTACAAGCCACTAAACCTTATCTCGTAGCTCCTCATCCAGACACCTCTTGAACACTGCCAGGGACCACAACTCCACCACCTCCCTGGGCAGGCCATTCCAGTGCCTGACCACTCTCTGAGAGAAAAAGTCTAAACCTCCTGTGGTACAGCTTGTGGCTGTTTCCTTGGGTCCTGTTTGTTGCCTGGGAGAAGAGGCCAAATGCCTCCTCATCTCTGAGGGGGCTCTGGGCAGTCTGCTCTAGTGGTTGGTGACACTGCACATAGCAGGGGGGTTGAAACCAAATGATCATCATGGTCCTTTTCAACCAAGCCATTCTATGATTCTAATCAGTTCAATTTTGATAAAAGGGAAGGGGTAATGAAATGACAAGTTTGATTTTGCTTGGTAAAATTCTGTTATGACTGTCTTGGAAAGCTACAGAAATCTCCTCTAGCTTTAGGATATTGTTTCATAGTGCTATTTTTTTCCAAACGCTTTGAAATTCATTGCTTACTAATTTTGTTATCAACTTAAGAGAGGTATATTAACAAAATGTAGTATCCACAGAGTTCAGTGACATAGAATTACCATGGGTCAAGGCTCATACTGAAAATCGCTTCAGTCTGAACCAGCTGCATGTCAGTAAGTTCTTGTTCTTTTGTGTTGGAGCATCACAAGCAGCCCCAAGATAACTGGATCCCAGATGTCTTGTATACCTTTGGTTGTATGAACTTGCATATCTTCACTGCCTAAGCTGGATGGCTACCGTGGTAGTGAGTGTGCCTATGGTAAATCTCATACTGTGTAAGAGCCTTGAAAACAGATTGACTTTTCTGCTTCTGCATTACTGAAGGTTTGTTATACAAAATACTAATTTCTTTGTTTTATGTGTTTGTATAAAAAGAAATTTCTTTTTGAAGGGCAAGTTGTATTAACTTGCTGTCTTTCTGATTTTGACATAAGGCTGAAGTTTAGTAGTTTTCTAAAGGAGATTTGCTAAACTTTCATACCTTTTCTTGGAGATTTTCTTATCATAGCAATATATGTAAAACTTAATAAATAAGCACAAAGTTAGAAGAACTCAAGTGATGTAAAATGTCAGTAACCTAACCAAATCAGTGTAAGCATCCAGATGTAAGTAACAACCTTGGAAGAAAGAAGTTTCTGGTATTTACAAACAGGTTAGACTATTTTAACTTATTTTTAATTAGGTAATTTATACTTCCTTGGATACATTTCTGTTGAATTTATTTCTGATAAATTTCTCATTTACCTAAAATAACTCTTCAGTCTTTCCCTTCTTGCATTTTGGAAACATGCTGTTTCTTTTTGAGCAGTCATCTTCACTTCTCCAGTTGATCATAAGAGCAGGCACTTGATGCGTGCTTTTCATTGGTTGAGTAATATGTGATAAAATAAATGTGTGAAAGGCATAGAAGAGGATTCTACCTGCTTACACTGATCCTAATAATTTTGCAGTTCAAAACAAATACTTCCAAAAAACAGATTCTGAAATTTGGGTTCCTCTGGTACAGCCGCATGTGTCCCTTGGTTTAGTAGCATGCCTGATCAGATGCACTTTGCCCTGTCTCTTGGGGGGCTCTCATTTGGTTTTCGTCCCTTAACCAAGTTCCCTTTTTTCAAAATGCTCCTAAAATGCAGTTCTGAGTTGTAACAATTTTGCCATATCTGACTTAAGTGTTAATGAACAGTTACTGTAGTGATCTAAGCACGTGAGTGTGACCATAAAAGCTTTCTGCAGTTAAAATACAGGCAACAAGCAATGCTTTATAGTACAAATAAACTGAAAGTAGTCTATCCAAAACTTGGTGATGGTGTTATTGTTTAGATTGAAAACTTCAGTGTTTAGAATGCTAAATTCCAGTGAGGGATATGAAAAAAGCATTTTTTCCCCCACTGTTTGTGCTATTTTCTGACATCATAAATTTCAGCACAAGCTTGGTCAGGTGCTGTTGGTGCTTTCCAGCTTTTCTCATCTTTTCACATATGATTACTGATGGTATGAAAACCTGTGTCTTGCTTCAAGAATTTAAGTTTCAAGGACAGTATTGTAATTGAGAACTTCTAAACAATTTCTTTGTATCTTTTAAATATGTTTCCTACTGCAGCTTTATTGGAGAAGAATCAGTTGCAGCTGGAGGGGGCAGCATTTTGACAGATAGCCCTACATGGATTATAGACCCTATTGATGGAACTACCAACTTCGTGCACAGGTTCACCTTTCACTTTTTGTGTTAGCAACTTCAACTGATTAACATTTTTCTTTCTGCAATTCCTGGAAAGTACAGCTTTTTCTTTTCCAAATTGCTTTAAAAGAGTTGCTGTTGATAGTTATGAACTGTTGAAATGTAATGAGACACTGGATGATTTTAATTGTTATTTTAGTATTTCTGTAACTTTTATAGTAGTCTTGCCATAAGCATGAGCATATATTCTTTCAAAGCTTTTTACTATGTGTGGTCAGCAGCCTTGAAAAGCATCAGGAGTCAGAATTAGGAGCTACACCTTCAGAGTGGTTTTGGTGAAAGGCAGTAACAGCTCTAAGCACTGATTTCCAGCAGCTTTCAAATCTGATCTGGGAGCTCCTACAATGAAAGAAAATGAAATTATCACTAGTGGCTGCGTAGTGGGTGCTCTGTATGTTGAGAAGGGGGCTTTCAGGGTAATGACGACTGACTGTTCCCTCATCTTTGAAACACAGAGTTTGACCTTGGTGAGTTTTTTTGAATGTTCTTGAATTCCATTTTCAAATGACTGTTTCTGTGTGGGCCGCAGCTTTAAATAGCTGCTGTATCCTGATAATTAACGTGTATAAAAAGCCAGAAGAAAAGAACATGTTCTGCTGAATTTACCGACTTAAATCTGTAAGGAAGACAGTGGAGATGACTAACTGCTTCTGATGAGGCCATTTTGGCCAGATAGTTTGTTCCTTCTGAAAAAGGTTAGTGGTATAGAGGCCTGCTTGTATTCTTTGGCTATAAAAACAGCAGTCTCCAAGCCCAAATGTAACATTCCTAGCTTCACTGGGTGGAAAAGTTTGTATTTGCAATAGTAAATTGTGTTGTTGGGTGTATTTTCATAGTAAACTGTACAAATTCCAGAAAAAGTATTATTTCCTATATACTCCACTTTTCTTTTTTGGGTATTTATTGCATATGAGTGAATGTTGTTTTTGTTAAGCATAAGCATGGTAACAAAAGAAGTTTGGTATCTTCACATTAGTGAAATGTTTTGTTTTGTAGGTTTCCATTTGTGGCAGTTTCAATTGGCTTTGTTGTAAACAAAAAGGTATACTTTTCATTACTTAATATCTAATCAAGCAAAACCAATCAATTTCTTGTTGCTAGTTATTATTAAGATTTGTATTTTCACAGTAAATAGGAAGAAAGGGGAAAAAAAAAATCAGAAACCTCAAGGTGTCTTTACTTTTCCTTGCAGATAGAGTTTGGAATTGTGTATAGCTGTGTTGAAGACAAGATGTACACTGCTAGAAGAGGAAAAGGGGCATTTTGCAATGGTCAGAAACTTAAAGTGTCAGGCCAAGAAGGTAAGTGGAACAACACAGCTTTTTAAAATAATTTCATTTCTTTTACAAGTGGTGCATCGATACTTTTGGATTTGGATGTATTCCAGTTTCTTAGCACGCTGTTTTGCTTACAAACACAGGCTTTTTGGCCATGGATTATTCAGATTTGAGAAACAGTTGTGTTCTCTTTGATCCATATAACATGCTTGTGATCTTTGCATGATCAACACTCAGCAGTTGAATTTCTTATTCCTTGTGTGTGTTCGTTTTTTTTTTTAAATTGTATTCCCTGTAAGTCTGTAATCCCTCTGTTTGTTCTTTAGGAACCATAACAAATCTATTAAACAATTCAACTTTGTCCAACTGTGAACTTTGTCCAGGTTTTAAATCACTATCATTCTTTTGTACTTGCCTATCCCATGTAAAATAAAATTCTCACTTAAAGTGGAGTGCTTTTAAAGTTCTGAGAACTCACCCAATTTTTCTAACAATGCTTTTTCTTAGTAATGACATGAATTAATGTATATATAAAATTAAACCATCTTATGCTATATTGACTTATTTCATATCATCCTGCCATTATGCCTATAAGGATTTTTATACATCCATGTACATGTAGTATTAAAATTTAAATGACTTTTATTCTTTTGTGTAAGAAGTCAATGGAGTAATCTCTGCTTGAATTTATCTTAAGCTTAATAACAGTAATTAGGTACATAAGTTGTACTGTTGGAAAAATGAGGTTTTATTTCTTTTTCAGACATTACAAAATCCCTTCTAGTGACAGAATTGGGATCAAATCGTGATCCAGAGACTATAAAAATTGTTCTTTCTAACATGGAAAGACTCCTCAGTATTCCTATTCACGGGTAAGATACTGTTAATTTTTGATATTTACCAGTACTGTTACATAAGACCATTTTCAGTACAGATCACTTGTGTATCATATTTTGAAATGCAATGGGATATAAATGTTACTGTGTAGTAGCTCTGCAGAGAAACTGCATTTTCACTTCTTGAGACTGAGATATAATGAAGAAAACAGTAACAAATCAGATAGAATTGAAAATTAAAGCATGGTTTGTAGGATTAGGAAGTACTGTTTTCCTAGGATTTTTTTTGTTGTTGTTGTTTTTTTAAGGAAATATGATTGGATAAGCTATGGTGGATTAAGGCAGCTGTTAGATTTCTTATTTCTGTGTAGCAACAGAAGTCATTTTCTAATATAGAAGACAAAAGTAGATCTTTCTTTCCTCTTTTAATGTTGCATAAATACCTTTAATTTGTCCAAATAATTGACATTACCAGCAAACTGCTCTTAGCTCAATGTGTTCCTTGTTTCTTCTCATCTAGGTGACCTGAAACCTACATTTCCACAAACCATTTTCTTTAAATAAAGGTGGTTTCAGAAGACAGATTTCTGTTGTTCAGTCTGCTCATGTTTCTAATCTAAAAGTAGTTCTAATTTTATGCTGAGATTCTCAAGGTTCTTGTGTTGACATTTAACACTTAGTTTGTATTTTCAAAAATCCTTCCAGCGTCATTGAGGAATATATGCTAAGTTATAAGGAAGGAAAGCATGAAGTGTTTCCTCACTTCAACTTTGGTATTTTATGTGTAAAAAGTAAATTGAGCTTGAAGCTGATTTAAGTTGCTTCTTGCTGTTACTTAGCTGCTATCAATTACAATGTAATGCAAATTCTGCTGATAATTGAAATAATTACTTATACAAGTTCCTTAATTAATTACACCAACATTTCCAAAAGGAGCTGGAATTTGTAACACAAGGAAGATTTTGATTAAGTTACCCAGACTGGTCTTACACTGTGATTTATTTTTCGTGATTACTATTGGTTTTTTGCAAGCCAGAAATGTTTACTGAGCTTCCCTTGAGAAAGGGAAGTAGTTGTCTTTTCAATGTTGATAAGTGTACGCTGTATTTGAAGTCTTGAATTCAAAAAGCAAAGTGGAATATCTGTTACTGTTTCATGGGTAAATCAAAGAACCGTAGGGCTTGGCAGGGATCTCTGGAGAACATCTAGTCCAACCCCCTGCTAAAGCAAGTTCCATACAGAAGGTTGCCCAGGAAAGCATCTGGGCAGGTTTTGAGTATTACCAGTGAAGGAGACTCCATAGCCTCTTTGGACAGCCTGTTCCTGTGCTCTGTCATCCTGAAAATAAATATTTTTTTCTCACATTCATAGGGAACTTACTCTGCTTCAGCTTGGGCCTGTTGCTTCTTGTCCTGTCACTGGGCACCACTGAAGTGAGCCTGGCCTCATCCACTTGACTCTTGCCTATCAGATACTTATAAGCATTGGTAGGATCCCTTGCCAGTTTTCTCCAAACTGAACAGTCCCAGGTCTTTCAGCCTCTCCTCTAAGGGAGGTGTTCCAGGACTCATCTTTGTGGCCCTCTGCTGGACTGTCTGTGGAAGTTGCTCATCTTTCTTAAACTGCAGAGCCCAGAACTGGTCGCAGTACTCCACATGTGGCCTTACCAGGGTAGGGGAGAGGGGGAAGATCATCTTTCTCGACCTGCTGGCCATGCTCTGTAATGCACCCAGGATACTACTGGCCTTCTTGGACACGAAGGCACACTGCTGGCTCATGGTCAACTTGTTGTCCACCACGGCACCCAGATTTTTCTTTGCAGAGCTCTTTTTCCAGCAGATCAGTCCCAAATCTATACTAATGCTGTTATTCCTCCCAAGCTGTAAGAGTCTGTACTTGCCCTTGTTGAACCTCATCAGGTTCCTCTCTGCCCGAATCTTGTACCTGTCTAGGTCTCACAGTCTTCGGTTATGTCAGCCATTCCTCCTAGCTATCTTCCATAATAGCTGTGGGGTTTTTTTTAGGCTAAGAGGTTATTCAATATTTATTTTCTTTCCAAAGCCAGTTTTTAAATTGGAATTCATAAATATTATTTCTGGGAATTTGCTATGCACACAGCTTTGAGCTACTTAGACAAAGTAATTGGGAATGAAGTTACGTATATTTGTTTCACTGCAGCATTCCATCCTGTTTGCTTTAGGTCAGCTCATTTTGCACATGATGCTTTTGTGTTCTTTGCCATGTGCTCATACCTTGTGACTTCCTAACAAACTGTTCTTAGCTGAAAAATAACTGTCTTCTTTAGGATTAGAGCCGTTGGTACAGCAGCTGTAAACATGTGCCTTGTGGCAGCAGGTGGAGCTGATGCCTATTATGAAATGGGGATTCACTGCTGGGATATGGCAGGGGCTGGAATCATTATTACTGAAGCAGGAGGTGTACTCCTGGATGCATCAGGTAAGCATAGGAAAATGCATGACATTCCCTTTGTCATTTTAAATAGCTGAAAAGAGAATGCAGAGAGGTTATCACTACTAAACGGAATTAACATCCAGTTAATATACAGAGAGAATTGTCTTACAGTTTAAGAGCATACCACTTTTTAACCTACCACTTTTTAACCCATTTGGCTGAGCACCAAAAAAGACAGAAATTTAAAAAAAAATTAAAAAAAAAAAGCAATAAACATATGTTCGGAACAATTTAAATGTAGTTCATATGCTGCATAAGCCTGTTAAGTTCAGTTAAATGTGTTTTTATCCAGTGGCAGAATGTGGTCCAGAATCATAATATATCCTTTTTTTTTTTTTGTTAATGCTCATTTTCTTAGCAACTTTTAATATTTTTTTTTTCCAGCAAAAAGCTACTTAACTTGCTTGCTTTTATTTCTAGGTGGACCATTTGATTTGATGTCTCGGAGAATAATTGCAGCAAGCAGTCGACCTATTGCAGAGAGAATAGCCAAAGCACTTCAGATAATTCCTCTGAAAAGAGATGATGCAACTAACTGAGTACCAAAGCTGCACCTTTAAACATACAGTTATACACTGGTTCTCTCTCTCATGTGGTGGTTGTTCCACACCTGGCACCTGATTAAAAAAAAGAAAATAGATTGTGTTCTTTCAGTACTGGATAGCTTCTGGTGTGACTGTGAAGTAGTGTTTTGAGATTGGACCAAGACCTAAGTAAGCTTTTATTGTCAAGTATTCTATTTAGCATTAAAAACACATATTTGCTTCCTTTTATAGATCTACAACTGCTGTTCTGAAGCTTTATACTACACTGGAAAGCATAGCTTAAGATCTTTTGTTTAGTTACATAATAACAAAACTGATCCACTATCTCAATGCCACATAATTGCATCTGACCAGAAGCTAAAGGCAATATTGTTTATCCATTCTCTAACCTTTTATCTCCTGACTGTTGTTTCTTTTTCAGTGTCATCAGCATATCAATTTCCTTAACTTGGTAGAGTTTTTCTAGAAGTAGTTGGTGTGTTTCTGAATGTTTTTTTAGTTGCTTGTAGTTCAAAGCCCCTTTTATTTACCAGTCTTTGTTTTTGTAGTCATGGTTCTACCTTTTTTACATGAGATAAACGCAGTCTACTCTTTTGCTTTTTATGTGGCCAATATTCTTGCATATTTATTACAGTTGCAGAAATAATAATTACTGTGCCAGGAAAACATGTTTTTGCCAAGAATAAGTTCTGAGCACACTTCCTATTGACAGATGGATTTGCTCCAGATTAAGACTGAAGTATGACTTAAATTTGTTCTGTCAGTTGGAATTATCAGCTTGTGTGTACTAGGTTCTTACTCTTATTATTTGAACTGTAATACCCATTAATCTTGTTTGAATTTCTCCATGATTAATTATTCCTTAGGTTCTGAAATAAAGTCTGAACTGGCAAAAAATAAGCCAGTAGTCCAGGCTCCTTACATCATTCTCTGTAAGTTATAAAAGCAATGACTGACCGAGTCCAGGCTTCCATTGTGTTATGTTGTTGATAGGCACAAAAGAAAATATGTTTCTAACCCTAAGTGTTTTTAAATCTAAGAAATATCAGTAATCTAATGCTTTAAGTTTATTGTTCTGAACTTATAAAACTATACAGTTCTTTGCATTTTTGAATTTAAAAGTATCAGTCTACTGACCAAATAATGAATGCACTTTAAGAAAAAACCTTAATTTAGATCACTTTTTAACCTGATTTTTCTGCGTCTGAGGTCTCGAATATAAAGTTGTCTTATAGAGATTGTCCAGTCAAAAGATAGCAACATTTTGGAAAAACTGACTTGTACTGCTGTCCCACTGTTTTTGTTTTGGCAAGTGATCTTCTCTCTTGAAAGTTCCAGCAGATCTCTTGTGGAATTTGAACTTTTAATATCAGGGGGTTTTTTTGGTTTGTTTTGTTTTATGAATTTGCTGAAATGTTGTATTTGAATCTGTATCTAATGCCAGATGATTAACATTAATGATCAGCAGCTGCCTGATATTCGTAGGTTTCTGTAAAAAAAAAAAAAAAAAAAAAGAAGAAAAATGAGACTTAATTTTACTTTTAAAGTTACCATTTGACATGGATAGGGACTGTTTGGCCGTTTCACTGTAACTTTATTGCTGTAAATGATTTGGGATCATTGTTATTTCTTGAGTATGACTGTTGTAACATTTCTCTGGCTTTTGTAGAACAAACCCTGCATAACTTTTTTTTAAAAAATGATTAATTTGTGAAATGGAGACATAGATTAAAAAAAAAAAAAAAAGAAGTGAGAGAATGTGTTCAAAATAAATGGGTCCCGGAGCAGCAGCTGCTTCAGGTGTGTTTCCCTGCTTAATCATAGAATCATTAACATTAGAAAAGATGTCTGAGATCACCAAGGCCAATGCCCCACCTGCCAGTAATGTTGCCCGCTAAGCCACATCCCTTAGTACTGCATCTACCCTTTCCTTAAACACTTGCAGTAATGATGACTCCACTTCATCCCTGGGTGATCTGTTGCAATGTCTAACCTCTCTCTGAGGAGAAAAAAAATATTAACATCCATCATAGTACAATGCTGGGACCCAGCAAGCTGGGTATGTGGGCTTGGGGCTGTCTCTGAGTTGAAAATTTTGTCTTCATGGCCTCTGATACACATAAACCGTTATGCCTCTACAGAAATAGTGCAGGTGTATGCACAGCCTAGTGTTTTTATAAAAAGTACTTCAACAGCTTCCTACGAGATCATAGTATGCTAATTATGTCAGTCCTCAGATCTCAAATCTTACACAGCACTTTACTTTCTTTACTGTTTGTGAGGCCCATCAGCTGGTTGAAACACAGAGCTTTCTCACCCTTAGCTTTCCTAACACTCTATGGAGAATTTATGGAACATCATTTCACATATTTACTTTCTTACTCAATATTCACCTTCTAGGTTTTTTTGTGTTTGTTTGTTTCTTTGTTTTTTTAAACTATGTGACAACTTTTAGGAGTTCTCTGTTTTCTTTTTAACTTCATTTTTCCTTTCAGGGACATCACAAATCCCTGCTTGCTACTTTGCTGAAGCATGGTTCTCTCAAATAAGTCATAATGTAAGATGTGTCTTATGTCTATATGACTTTTAGTCATATAGAAAGTACACCTGAATGTCATTGTTGTTTAGACGCATTTTCTTTTTGTTAGTGTGTTCTGGTAGTGTGTGATTTTGATGAAAGATTTAGTAAAATGGTAAAATTGTGATAACTGTAATCAAAATGCTTTTGAGAGATTATCTATAAGATGTGGTATCTGAAAGTTCAATAAAACACCTATTTTTTTTTTTTGAAAAGGGGTGGCAAAGATAGTTATGCTAAAATTGTTTAAGTTCTAAAATTTTCATATGAAGTGATATATTTACAGGATAGCTTCTGCTGGACAATTCATGTGAGACAATCAGAAAAGAAAACCAGTTACCATGTATGGAATCACAGAATGATTTAGACTGGAAGGAACTTGAAGGTCATCTAGTTTCAACCCCTCTCCCATAGGGGTTGAGGGGGCCCTCCCTTAGCCCAGGTTGCTCAAAGCCCCATCCAGCCTAATCTTGAATGCTGCCAGGGGTGGGACATCCATAGCTTCCCTGGATAGCCTGTTCCAGTGCCTTACTGCCCTCAGAATGAAGAATTTATTCTTTGTATCTGATGTAAACCTAACCTTCTTTTAGTTCAAAACTGTTACTCCTTGTCTTATCACTACACTTCCTGGTAAAGAGTCCCTATCCCAACTTTTCTGTAGGTCTCTATGTTCTGGAAGACTGCTATAAGATCTTAACCCAGATCCTTTTTTTCTCCAGGCTAGACAAGCTCAGTTTCCTTGGTGTCTTCGCAGGAGGGTACTATAGCCCTCTGATCATCATTGTGGCCCTTCTATGGACCTGTTCCAACACCTCCTTGTCTTTCTTGTGCTGGGGATCTCGAAGCTGAACTCAGTGCTTCAGGTGGGGTCTCAAGAGAGCAGAATAGAGAGGAACTATTGACTCCTTCAGCCTACTTGTCACGCTTCTTTTGTTGTGGCCCAGGATACACCTGGCTTTTTGAACTGCAAGTGTACTCTGCTAGCTCATATTCAATTCTTTATTCACCAACAACCCCAAGTTCTCAGCTGGAGTGCTCTCTGTCTGTACATTGCCCAGCTGCACCATACAGCTTCGTGTTGTTGGCAGTCTTGCTGAGGGTGCCCTCACTGACAAAGATGTTAAATAGCACCAGTCCCACTGCAGATCCCTGAGGAACACTATTTGCTACTGGTCTCCACCTGGATATCAAACCATTGATTGCAACACGTTGAATGTGGCTATGTAGCCAATTCCTTACCACTAAATGGTCTATCCATTAAATCTATTTTTAGTACTGATTATGTACAAGAAAGAAAATGATGTTTCTTGGCTATCATCCCTGATCACAGTAGCCCTCTCCATTTACTGATTTGAGGATAGATTGTGATAATTTTCTGTAACAAACTGCAGGGCTTTTCTACTTCTTCAAATCAGGGTCTTCTAGTAGACTTTATCCTTGGAAGCCTTTTCCTGCATGTAGTATTGCTAAAGCAGCTGTGAAAAATCCTTTTTTTCCTTCAATAATAAATATAGATTATTATTCCTAATATCCGTGTCCCAAAGCTATGATTTTAAGGCTCTTCTGTATGGTCTAATGCCTAGAGCTGAGTAGGTACTTTGACTAGACACAAGATGTCAATGTGTGAGCTCAGTGTGAAGCATTTTAAATACAGGAGATCTGTCTTTTCATGAGCTTTCCATCCTCTCAAAGTCAGCTGCTAATTCAGTTCTATTATTATTTGTGGGTGAAATAATTACTTCACAAGTCTGATCCTGCTTTTACAGTGCTGACAGGCAATTTTCCAACAGCATATTGTTGTTGGTTCTACAGCGGTCGGCATGACTTCCTTTGTGCAAGCTCCAGGCATCAGAAGGTTATTGTTGGTGATGTGACACCTCAAGAGCCTGTGCCAGAGCCAGCCATCTCCAGGACAACATAATCCATTTCATCTCTGGCTTATCGCCTGTGCTGCACAAAAAGTGGCAGTGAATGCAGTCTGTCACGTCACTCTTCAGTCTGCACAATCTTCACACGCTGATTTGTGGCTTCCTAAAGACAAGCACGAATTTCTGAAATGTCCTCCTTTGTGCTCACTGTCTGCTACAACAGTGGGACAAGCAAAAGCTTCAAAGCCATATGCAACATGCAAAGCAAACTGAGAAGCATGCTCAGCTGAATGCACATCATGTCACTGAGTGAAAGTGCTACAAGCTCCTACCTGCTGGAGGAGGATGGATTAGATCCTCCTGCAGTAGAACAGAAATTTTCTTACCACAATTCAAGCTGTCAAAATGGTAGAAATGATGGTGTATATCCATCCTGTCCCAGAAGTTTATCACCTATGCTGATGGCTTCTACACTAGCTTGAGCTTATACACTGTGTATCGTACTTGCAATTGGTTTCCACGGTTGTGGTCAAGAGTTTTACACTGGGATTTTTTCTTTCCTACAGCACTGTTGCTGCTGTTAACAATCAAGCCATATGCACACCCATTTAAGTGAAAGGAAAAGAAGCCCAAAATAGAACAGCGACAACTGTATAATGGCAGTAGTGAGGTATGGAAACCCACTCCCTCTTCAAGCAGTGGGGATCAAAGTTTATGTTTGGATACGTCTGTTCTTAGGGATCACATTTACAACCGTGGAAAGCAGTTAAGTCAGAAGTAGTACTTGGCATCTAATGTCGTAGAAGCTCTTCCTCCCCTGCTATGTTAAATTTTCCCCCTCTGCTGTCCCTCGGAGATCTGTGTATCTGCACACAAATGGAGTTCAGTCTTACAGAGACTCACACAGACTCTATGAGCCAAACTTCACCGTTCCTGACATAACACTAGATGGCAGCCAGAGCCAGGAAAACACCACGGTTCCCTTCAATCCCTTCTAACCCCATTCTGCTGTCCCTAATTAACAAATAAAACCATATCAGATAATTATTGAAACGAATTATACCTCGAATGTGTGAGGATTTGCACTCTGTGTGTCTGTGTCGTGACAAGAAATTTGAAACAGGACTTTTCTTGTGCCAGCAGCATTAATATTCCCTGCCTTTTAGCGTAAGTGTACTGAAATATGGTGGTATTTATCACAGGTACTTGGACTCTAAACTAAAGCAAGAGCTTTTTGATTTATTGAGGCTTTGCAAAATATTAGATTGTACTATATTTAAGTCTGTAGGTTTTTTGCTGTCACAAATTAAGACATGGCATTTGGAAGCCTTTTTTAAACTTATAAAAAATGGTCAAGGTATCTGTGCATCAATCTGTATGCAGGTACAACAGCTCTTGGGCTACAGGCACAAATGAACAGCTCTTAATCATTTTAGCAATGCTACTGTTTTATTATCCAAAGAGAACTCTAGCCCTTTGCTACTAGCAAAATAGTAGAAACTATTTTGCTTCCAAATGTGTTGTGATGATGTTGAAGGACCTTTACCAGATGTGTCTAAACTGTGTCAATAGACCATAAAAGTGTATTGAGACCTATGCTTTTAATAACCTGTTCTAGCATGGGCAGATGACTTATCCCTTTATTTCATTTTCTCATAGGTCTATATGCAGCACACAAGAGAAAGTTTCTCTGTATTTGTGGAAGGTAGTGATAGAGAGAAAAAAGTAATGCTAATACATTACAGACGAATGGTTCACAATTTTTGTCAATATGGCTGGTTAAGGATTGCCTTCACTAGCAAATCTGGAGGGACCCTGCCATCCCAAACATGCCATGCCCTTTGTAAGCCCTGCTGAGCACATCAGCACAGGGTACTGGGCAGGCTCTGAGGCACTCTGTATCCTAATAGCATATAGCAAAAGGAGAGAGATGTCCAGGAGTGCCTGCAACTCACTTTCGTTACAAGCCAGAGGGACATAAAATGACCAAGTTACTCTAGTGTGGGATCATAACAATATAACTTTCTTCCGCTATGACCTCTCTGTGGTGATGCAAAAGGTTTGTTTT